TATATATATGTATATATATATATATATATATATATATATTACTTGCTCTATCCAGTCAAATGTATTTTCTGTATCGTACACTGTTTCAAGGTCTTGCATTTGATTAGGGATAAATCTTTTGAATTATTTACAAACTGAATTTTGTAACTATTCATACTTTTCAGTAGTAGTATATTTCTTTGGATTCTATCATTCTTTTGTCAGAGATTTGTTGATTTCCAATCCACACTCTATTTTGAAGGCATAATTAGACATTTAAACTATTTACTTTTGTGAGAGATATAAGTGTAGATCCAGTAACTGGTGGACAGTTTCGGATATTCAGTTTTTTATGTTATTTTGTTGGCTAGACATAATCGATATAAGAGATCATGAATTCCTCCTACCCGTAAGATACGAATAATCGGGCAAACGTACATAACAATCCCAATTTTATCGTTTTATCAGTCCAGACGTTTACTAGTCAGCTTAGCAATCAACCTTTCATGTAATAAATTTTAGGTTACTGAATCTAACAGGCGATTCATAAAAATGGACTGTGTACATCAGTTTGTATGATAATTATGGTTAGTTTAGTACTTCGTTTTGTGGTAATGATGAAATTAAACTTATTGAAGACTTCTTATTCTAAATGAATTCATGCTGCACATACATATTCAGATTAAGTTGATCTGTGTTGTTGCCAATTTGATCATCGACTAGCATTTCTTGATGTTAACGTTGATTGATAGTGATAACTGAGATATGAAATCGGTTAGTACAGTCATCGTGCTTAGTCAGACGAAGTCATTTGGTGATGAGCACTTGATAATTAGCTGCTAAATTGGTTGAAATCGAATGATCAGTTCACCTAGACCAAATACTACTTAATGATGTTTGTAATTTCCCGTTAACTTTTTTTCTACAGGACTGAATTGACTAGTTTTTCTTGGTTCGTTGAATGGATACCCTGATATTCCCCCAAGTTCCATTCTGATGTTACTTGCTTGGTGGTAACTAGAAGTTAAGTTCATGAGGTTCATTTCATCCTATTTATGATTCGTCAGTTGAATGTATCTGAATGCCAGTGAGCAATGGGTTTTCGACTAAGACTCGAACATGACACCCACTCTATCAAACGCTGGAATGTTATGCAGTAAACTGCAGTAAACAAGAAGGGAATCTGCTGTGTAACCAGTATCAATTATTAAATATTGGGGTTTGTAATTTTTGAAGAGTATCAGGTAGAACGAAACGCAAGTGCTAACTTATACTATTAGCTATCACCTAAAAAATACCCTGTGTGAGTAGTTCTAACGTTTTAGATTGTTAAGCAATCACATTTAGGATGAATGAATTATTAAGCAAAACAATAGATAAACAACACATGATTCATGTACTTGGTAGATCGTGAAGTAAAGGATACGCCGGACGAATTGTGATTGGTTGTTTGAGAAATGTCTAACATTTACTCAGTTATATCGCATTCATACAATCTGAGCTTAGGAAGGCGTAATTTGTAACATTATATCATTGAACACATTATTGAAAGACTCAGCACTAACCGGTAGATTGAAAACTTACTCCAGACAGGCATGTAAAACCTTTCATAGTGTTAGCAACTGATTCATTTACCTTACATAAGTCACTACATTTCAGTTTAGTGCCAAACTTCCCATGGTTACAAACAGATGTCTGCATCATTTGAAAAAAACTCAGATGGCAAACACATGAGGAATGAAGCGTTTAATACTATTTCTACATGGTCACATAAGTGGTTAAATCACACTGTTGAACCGCCTGTTTTTTTCTTGATACTTACTAAATGATTCTGTTGATATCTATGGTTACAAGATCATACAATAAGGAACAAAATAGTTTTCTGTATTTGGTTGAATGATTTCCACTTTCTAGGGAAGTATAGTTTGAAACTTGCAAAAAACAGAGTTTCAAACTAGTTATCTTGACAAAAATTATCTCACTGAAATCATGAAATATACATCTGGTGCTAAGGAATATCATTGTTTTCTTGAAATGCAGTAGTTTAAGTTACTGTATTTATTAGATTGTCACGTGTAAACACATGGTGAATACAGGTTGACCATTTCCTTGGAAAGCTCTAGGATAATTGTTACGTAAAATTAAAGAAAATTGGACAAAACTGCCAAGATAGACATGCATAACCGCATACTACACGTAATTCTTTGAAAGACAGCAATTAGAAATTATATACACATATATCGAGTGGGTCACTCCTCTAGTAAGTTAATGCGAAAAAATCAGCCAATCTAATGTTATTCATTGATACTTGTGATTCTCCGTTGCTATACTGGATCAAATTGATAGACGTCTGTTAGCAGATGCACTTCTATGTTATACCTTCTCATCTCCTTTGCAATCTGGGCTGCCTTACTGGGTTCAAACATCGTACGGACATTCCATGTCCCCACGTTTACTTTCGCTTTCATCGAGAGAAGACACATCGGCCAATTGGCTTCCCGAAGGCTTTCACCAACTGGCGTCATTTCGCCTCTCCGATTCCAGCGGGGAATAAGTTTGTTTTCATTTTTTATATTTTGTTTGTGCTTTGAAGTTTCTTTAGCGGTTAGATTTGTTTTACGGGGTAGGGTTGCTAGCCCTATGCCCAACCTTCCCTCTTTACCCGGGCTTAGGACCGGCTAGTAACTAGTAAACTAGTTAACCAGGCGAGGTTTAACTGCCGAAGAAGGGAGACCTCAGTGCTTGCAAGAACTGGCGCGGAATCACTCTCCTGTCCACCTCAAGTAAAATATTAAGCCGCATCATCCTGGAGAGGCTTAAAGACGCACTGGATTCAAAACTGCGACCGGAACAGGCAGGCTTCAGGAAGTACAAATCATGTGCTGACCAAATTGCAACACTTCGTATCATCATAGAACAGAGCGTAGAATGGCAATCAGCTCTCTACCTCAACTTCATCGACTTTGAGAAGGCCTTTGACAGCGTCGACCGAGAAGTAATTTGGAAACTGCTTCAATACTACGGAGTACCGCAAACCTTTATCCGCCTCATTCAACAACTATATGAAGATGCCACATGCCAAGTAATCCACAATGGGAAGCTCAGTGATGCCTTTGAAGTGAAGACAGGAGTGAAACAAGGTTGCCTACTATCCCCCATGATATTCCTTATTGTGGTGGACTGGATCATGCAGCAAACAGTAGGCAGCGAGAAGAGGGGGATACACTGGACGACGGAAAAGAACCTAGAAGACTTGGATTTCGCCGATGACTTATGCCTAATGTCACATAAACTTGAAGATCTGCAGGCAAAAACTAACAAGTTGACAGAAGAGGCAGCCAAGACGGGACTTCAGGTGAATATAGAGAAGACAGAAGTGATGAAGATACCGCACCACCACCATCAACAACAACAACAAACTCCAATCACCGTCAACGGGAGAAACTTGAAGGAAGTAACCTCCTTCACTTATCTAGGAAGCATTGTTTCAACTACAGGCGGCACAGGCACAGACGAGGATGTCAAAGTCAGAATCGGAAAAGCAAGACAGGCGTTCATTAGCCTGAAACCAGTGTGGAGATCTTCTGCACTCAGCATGTGGAACAAGATACGGATTTTCAACACCAACGTCAAGTCAGTGCTCTTGTATGGCTCAGAGACTTGGCGCGTCACGAAAGGCATTTCCAATAAACTACAGACATTCATCAACAACTGCTTACGCTCGCTGCTGAAGATCAGATGGCCAGAAAAAATAAGCAACAAGGAACTCTGGGAACGAACCAACCAAGAAGCTATCACGCAACAAATATGCAGGAGGAAGTGGAGATGGATTGGCCATGCACTGAGAAGGCCGACTGAGGACATCACGCGTCAGGCCCTCGAGTGGAATCCCCATGGGAAGCGACGAGTTGGACGTCCAAGGGTGACATGGAGGAGGTCATGCGAGGAGGAAATGAGAGCTTCTGGGCTGTCGTGGAACCAGGTTCAAAAGATCTCAGAGAACAGAGTTAACTGGAGGCGTGCTACTGAAGCCCTATGTTCCACTAGGAACCCAAGGGACTAATAATAATAATAATAATAATAATAATGTTAGCAGATGGGCTCCTATGAGGATCCATCAAAATTGACTGAATATTACTTGTTATAATTGACTTCGTTGCAGCTAGCAGTGAAATGCAAGATGAGCACCTCATCTTTTTTGGGATTCATTAGCTTGATGTGACTGCATTCCAGTGAATGATGGTATTCCCTTTGAGACTCGAAACTCGTAACCATGACTTCAAATGCTAAAGCGTTAGCTACTAGGCCATTGAGGCCTGAAGGCTGGTACAACATCAGAGAATTACAAGTACATGAGCAAATAGCCATAACTAATACCCGTTACAAAAGAGAAAGCTATGGTACCTCACTAGTTTAGTGGGTAGAGATTTCACGTTTGAAGCTGTTAGTATGAGGTTCTAATCTCAGTGAGATAAACACTCACTTGGGGTGCAGGTACATCAAGCTGACGAATCTCGAAAAGGACGGAGCGCGCGTCCTAGATTTCAGTATTACCTACAACCAAGTCAACTACAGCTTAGTAGTTTTAAGTGTTTTTTTCCAGAAAACCGAAGCATTTTTCATAACCAAAGCGAAACTTTGCAAGAATGACACCCGTTTTAACCTAATCGAAAAGTTCCAGTACGGTGATACTACTGATTGAAATGCGTACTCATCAGCCAATTTGAGTAATTAGTGACGATAGTCTCGTAGAGATCATCAGTAAAAGGAGGCCATCTGAACTGATTCGTAGTAAGCAAACTGCTGATGAGCACAGTTCAAAACGGATGAAGCAACCATGAGGGGCATTTGCCACTTAAATTTTATTGGAACACACAAATGACTACTCGTGCTGGCTTCTGAGGACAACTATTACTGCAGTTCGAGTATTTGTCCATTATTATTATTATTATAGTTATCTTTGTCCCATGAATGCTGATATACAAAGAAGCTTAATCATTTTGTCTTTTTATTCATTTCAGAATTCACCAGAATATTTTCATCAATCTATTTGTCCTACCAGTTTATGTGGTACAGTATGAAAAATATGAAATCATATCATCTGAAGCTTCAATTCTTCAATGTTTATAAAATCTCCACATTGAGTAATAATCGAAAAAGCATTTATTTAAATATAAATCTAATTTTATTTTTATTTTTAACTAGCCTTCATATATTACCGAATTCTTTTCTAGTAGTATGTTCTAATTTGTCTAAATCAGCAACAAAATTAAAAACCCCTTTGAACACTATGAATCAGTTTAAACAATGTTGTAAAGATGGATTAATTGCAGCTCATAGTTTAGATGTACCAATATTAAAAGGTGAAAGTATTCAGTGTAGTAATGAAACGTGTGCAGACATTTTACAGCTAGGAACATCTGTGATTGAAAATGTAAGTTGCTTTCAAATTCTTCTAAACATAAAATTATTCAGTAACCTTTTCAAATAATTTGCGTCATTCAATCCAAAGATTTGTGGAGATTTATTGATTCCAAGGTGGTGCTCATCATAGACTGACTGACATCAGTTGGGGAACCGTTGAGTACTTGGAAGTACTGGACACCTGTTCCGTCCTAGTATGCGACTCCTCAGCAGTTCGCGCGCAGGACATTCACTAACTCGAAGTCTAAAATAGCGTGATCTTCATTCAGAGCCATCACTGAGTACCTTTCCTCGACTGCATCCAGTGAATAACAAATTTTTCTTCTTAACAACATCATCCACTGCAGCTGTACAATCATGTTTAAAATCACCGTAGACAAATAACTCTCTGTCATTGAACAGTCAGTTTACATTGCATTAACGAGATAATACAAGACAGTATGACAGAAAGATGACTATTTTTGCCGTGATGATCACTTACTGAACGATGAAATGGTAAAAGTAGTTAGAAAAACGTAGAATCTTGCAGGATGTCAATTTAACAGAATACAACGTATCATGGTTAGGTGACAAGCAGGTGAGAAGATGAAGAAAAAAACAATGATCACAATCAAAGTGACAGTGGTGGAGTTAAAAAAGGACTAGAACTAAAGCACGGCAAAAATCTGAACAACATAATTCTTCAGTACGCAGAGAGAGCTACGACTGATGAATAGCCAGTGCCTGCACCAAGTACACTTTGCAAAATTGTGCTGCTTTCGAACCGTTTGACTTGACGTTGCAGACGATAGTAAAAAATTAAGCTAATGAAACTGTATCACCAGAACTAAGCATACGTCAAAGTACTAAACTGCCTGTTGATTTTCACATTTTTACTAACAATCAAATGCAACAATACTTTTAAATGCATTTCAGAAAATCACACTTACGATTAATGTAAAAAACTACACAACAGCAAGTAAACCTAAAGATAAAAACCAAGGTGGCACAAAGTAGAAGCTTGTCCTTGTCACACCTACGTATAAACTGTGAAACATAGAAGACACTTCAGAGGCTGACAGTTGAAAGGTATCTCTCTAAAAAGAATTGGTCAGTCAAAATTTCTGATTTATTATTACACATGACATTCACATCCATAGACTAGATTTTCTTTGTAACTGATGGACGACGTTTGGCATCTCGCTTCAGTTTCGGCTCTTTCGCATTAGCCGGTTGGAAGAAATCAGCAGGAAGCCCTAAACCTTATTTTCATGGTTTTTTGGCACTTGTCAGAAATGCGCATCTGCAACTTCCAGAAAAGTGATGTCTCATTTTAGATTCGAGTCCGCGTCACCCAGTTTTGTAATCAGTGATAAATCATGCACTATCCCTAGTTCATTTCCCCACTAAACGATCATGTTGTGACAAATTGAAATTGCCTAGGTCCAATCGATTAAACGCAGAGACTCAAATGAATTTGAGCTCTTGACTCGTAAGTGCATCGCACTTCAAGTGCTGAGTATTTGACTCAAAATTCCACTAGTATAAACTATCTCCTTCCTGATTGTGGTTGACTGGATCATGCAACACACTGTGAGGAGTGGGAAGACGGCCATACGCTGGCTTGGCCGATGAGAAGACCCTAGAAGATTTGGACTTCGCCGATGATGATTTATGTCCAATGTCTTGCCACACAAAATCGAAGATCTACAGGCAGAACCAACAAGTTGACAGAAGAGGCACGGCAGCGAAGATGGGACTTCAGGTGAACGTTGAGAAGACGGAGGTGATAAAGATACCCAACCAACAACAACAACAGGCATCAATCACCACCAACGGTAGAATCCAGAAGGAAGTAGCCTCTTTCACCTACCACCTAGGCAGGGCAGTATCGTTTCAACTACAGGTGGCACAGATGAGGACGTCAAAGCCTGCCAGGATCGGAAAGACAGCAAGACAGGCCTTCATTAACCTGAAACCAGTGTGGAAATCTACTGCACTCATCATAAAGCGTGAACGGGATCCGGATTTTCAACACCAACGTCAGTCAATTCAGTGCTTCTATATGGTTCAGAGACTTGGCGTGTCACGAAAAGCATTTCCAACAAACTACAGACATTCATCAACAACTGCCACCTACGCTCACTCGATACTGAAGCTGAAGATCAGATGGCCAGAATAATGGGAATAAACAACAAGGAACTCACTGTGGCATCGAATTAGCCAAGAAGCTATCGCTGAACAAACATGCAGAAGCAGAAAGTGGAGATGGATTTGATTGAGCATACACTGAGTAGACCATTCGGGGACGTCACGCGTCAAGCCAGACCATTGAGTGGAATCCAAAGTGGGAATGACGAGTTTGGCAACCGAGGTGAGTGTGACATGGAGTAGATGGTGTGAGGAAGAAATCAAAGCTTTTGGGGAGTGATGGATCCAGGTTCACAAGACTGCGGAGAAGAGAGTGACATGGGGATGGGCTACTGAAGCCCTATTTTCCACTAGGAACCCAAGAAACGAACAATAATAATAATAATAAGCATGTGATCATAATAAATTTAAAAGTATTTGCATAGGTTTCCCAAAGAAAGCACTACAGTGGTTCGGATAAAGATTTATTGTCAAAGCTCATTCTTATATAAAAGTAGCTTTAGTAATCTATAATCAAATACTAAAGTCTTTGTTTTAATACAAACTTTCTAAAAACCGTCCTCCCAATCCCTGACCTGATAATTTTCATTGAAGTGCGTTTAATCGCATTATAATACCTATCGTACAGTTATCATTCTAAATGTTGATTATTGCTATTTTATTTCACAACACATAATTTATGGTGTGGCTTATTAACCTGCTTAAGCCCTGAACACTTGAAAATTAAACCAGTGCAGAGATTTTGTCGAAGAATTGAATAAACTCCATATTAGATTTGTTTATTTGATATAAAGCGCACAGTGATACAGTATTATTTACTTGATTACGTTTCGAGCATAAATTATTGCTCATAATCATATCAATGTAATCACACTTCTTTCGACATCTGATTTTATAGTCCTGTCACCTGATCTCTCTTTGTTTTTTGTTTTTTGATTGGTAGTAAAGTTTTCCATATCTCTGGTATAGGTGTTGCGTCATTCCTATTACATGTGTTGGGTGTGGATTCGATGAACAAAGATTCAGTAATTAATCTCTCTCTCCACCTAGCTATATTAGACTTAAGTACAGTGGTTTTGTCCCATCCTATTGTGTGGTTGTGTGTTAATGAATGTAATGCAATGGCTGAGTGTTTTTCTAGGTTATTGATCTTATTGGGGTCTGTCGTTCTATGTTTAGCTAAATTCCTATGTTCTGTTAATCTAACTGACCCCGACCGGCTAGTTTGACCTATGTATTTGACTTCACAGTCATTACATGGAATTTGGTAGATTATATTATTTTGCTTAATTGGTTCTATCGGATCTTTTAGCCGACACAGCTTACCTCTAAGTGAGTTTGTTGGTTTAAATGCCACCCTAATTCCAACCTTGTTGAGAATCCTACGTATGGTTTCTGATGTTCCTTCCTTGTATGGTATCACAATAGAGGTGCTGATTTCCTTTCTACTTATGTTGTCACTATTATTTGTATTTGTATTAGTGTTATTATTTTGCTTCTTATGCGTCCGTGTGAATTTCTTAATAAAATGATGGGGATAATTATTAATTATTAACGCTTCTTTTATGTGTTTCAATTCCTTATTTAAGTCCTTACAATGACTAGTGAGTTTCTCAGCTCTGTTATTTAGACATTTGACTAAACCCGCTTTAACTGACACTGGATGAGATGACTTGAAGTCTAGATACCTGTTAGAATGTGTTGGTTTTCTGTAGACGGTAGTATCTAAACCACCATCTATCCTTCGTTTTATTCTGCAATCCAACATAGGTAATTCTCCTTGTTCATTTTCTACTTCGTAAGTGAATTGGATTGCGTTAACTACTGAGTTTATGTGTGTCAAGAAACTGTCGATATGTTCCGATTTCAACACTGTAAATGTGTCATCTACATATCGCCACCATATCTTAGGTGTCGGATTATATGTTCGTAAAGCCATATCTTCCCAACTATCCATAAATATATCTGCTACTATAGGGGATATTGGTGATCCCATTGCTACTCCTTCTGTTTGTCTATAATCTTTCCCTGAAACTTGAAGACTGTCGAGGTTAAGCATAACTGCACTCCTAACATGATTTCACCAACCGATGCCTTGGTTCTTTGAGTAAGTTGTGAGTCAGTATCTAGTTGATTTCTGACTGCCTCCAGTGCCATATTGATTGGTATTTTAGTATAAAGACTTGTTACGTCAAAACTAACCATTTTTTCATCCTCTTCTATGTGCAGGTCATTAAGTTTTTGTTTCAACTCGTAAGAATTTACTAGTCTAGAGTTGGAACGGTCTCTAACAGGACGTAATACTGATGCTAAATACTTTGATATCTCATATGTTGGTGTGTTTCGGAAGTCAACTATCGGCCTAATGGGATAACCTGCTTTATGAACCTTAATAGTACCGTAAATTCTGCTAGGATTATTAGTTTTTGGCATTAAAGTAAACCATTCGGACTTACCTAGAGATGGCTTCAGTCGGCGTATCAGATCTGTTGTAGATTTCTTAATTTTATTCATGACAGTATCTATAGGTTTCTTAATCTCTTCATATGGCCCTGTTTGGATATGTTCATCCATTTTTTTAAGATAATCCGATTTGTCCATAACTACTGTTGAGTTACCTTTGTCAGATTTAGCAATTACTATACTATTATCCTTTCGTAGATTGTTTAAAGCTGAATTTTCCAGTTTCGTTAAGTTTCGCTGTGTCTTCTTTTGTTTTTTAAGTGCTAATGCACACTGCGCTCTAACCTGTTCAGCAGTTGTCACATCCACCGAGCTTAATGCTACTTCTATGCTAGGTATGACATCTTCTGGTTTTAGATGATCTACTGTTATTATAAGTGAAAAACTTGGGCACTGTGGTAGAATGTAGTTCCATATTATATATATATATATATATATATATATATATATATATATATATATATATATATATATATATATATATATATATATATATCAAATAAACAAATCTAATATGGATCTACTGTTATGTTGAAGTTTAGTCCCTTTTCAAGTACTTTCATCTCAGCTGAGCTTAAGGCTTTCGAGGAGAGATTGACTACCCACTTTGTTCTATCGATGTTCGATGATGTTTCCTTTGTAATTTCATTGTTTTCCGAAGCATATTATATAAACTTCTCAGACTGATCTATAGATTTTTTTCAGCCAGATCAGATTGATCTAAACAGTGTTTGGGGCTTTGTTAGGACTTAAAAAAGGAATTGAGACGCATAAAATAAGCGTTAATAATTAATAATTATCTCCATCACTTTATTAAGAAATTCACACGGACGCATAAGAAGCAAAATAATAACACTAATACAAATACAAATAATAGTGACAACATAAGTAGAAAGGAAATCAACACCTCTATTGTGATACCATACAAGGAAGGAACATCAGAAACCATACGTAGGATTCTCAACAAGGTTGGAATTAGGGTGGCATTTAAGCCAACAAACTCACTTAGAGATAAGCTGTGTCGGCTAAAAGATCCGATAGAACCAATTAAGCAAAATAATATAATCTACCAAATTCCATGTAATGACTGTGAAGTCAAATACATAGGTCAAACTAGCCGGTCGGGGTCAGTTAGATTAACAGAACATAGGAATTTAGCTAAACATAAAACGGCAGACCCCAACAAGATCAATAACCTAGAAAAACACTCGGCCATTGCATTACATTCATTAACACACAACCACAAAATAGGATGGGACAAAACCGCTGTACTTAAGTCTAATATAGCTAGGTGGAGAGAGAGATTAATTACTGAATCTTTGTTCATCGAATCCACACCCAACACATGTAATAGGAATGACGCAACACCTATACCAGAGATATGGAAAACTTTACTACCAATCAAAAAACAAAAAACAAAGAGAGATCAGGTGACAGGACTATAAAATCAGATATCGAAAGAAGTGTGATTACATTGATATGATTATGAGCAATAATTTATGCTGGAAACGTAATCAAGTAAATAATACTGTATCACTGTGCGCTTTATATCAAATAAACAAATCTAATATGGAATTACATTCTACCACAGTGCCCAAGTTTTACACTTATAATAATTAAATAAACTGCCTGAACTTGCGTTACACCCCTACCAAATATTGCCTGCCCAGAATTGCCTAAGTGAATTAATATTGGAGAAGAAGTTGGTCCAGATGTAAACTTTAATTCCCAATGAAATAAATAACTTTCTCATGTAATTATATGTATTAGAGTGTATATTATTAATATTGATTTTGGATTTTACCGAAAATCAATCAAGGCTAAATGAAGGTCATTAATAGAACTGATCAATTGGGTAAATGTTAGTCCACTGGGAGAGATGGCAGAAAATTCAAGGTTCAGTGACGTTTTATTGAGTGTGCGTACGGTTGTACAGCCTAATAATACTGTAGAAAGAATAAATTTTTAGATATGTAAAGAGTAGTGGCAACTGTCGGGATCCATGAAATCTGGGTCGATGACTACCGTGAAATGTTCTGTAAGACCCCGAAAAACAACATTAAATTACTCCACTTCCCCCTGGATAGATATAATTCGGTCATCATTAAAAAACTGAAAAACATGATAATGGTTACTAAACAGTAACTAGCAAGTCTTAGAAATTAAACTTTTCAGTGCTGTAGTCAGACAACTTACTTACTAACTTAGCTGCTTGCTTACCTGCTTACTTTCTTACTAACCTGCTTGCTTAGGGACTTACTTACATACTCATCTACTTACTTACCTGCTCACTTACCTACTGACTTACTCGCTTACTGAAGGACAGAGATTGATAACCTGTAGGACTGTGATGGATACATCGATTTCTACTAGTTTCTTGTTTCCCCATCTATCTTTTCCAAGGGTAACATTAAAGAAGAAACAGTATGGAAGAAAATGGATAATTTGCTTTCATGATTATGCGGCAGTTGAGTGTTTTACAGCTGTTTCACCTGTTGCTCTTTTTACCTAGAGAATAAACCACTTTCAAATCTAAACGTTTATTTGATGTTGACTAATTTTGTAACTTTAACGTATGCACATAAAACATGTATGTTCTAATATAAAACGATATTTATTTATGCACATTTCAAAAAATGTAATGAACAAAAAGGACAGGGAAAAGGCATCACTATATTCAGATCATTTTTGGTGTCAACGTGTTCAACATTTCTGTTGTTTATCAGCTAGAAAGTTAAAAGCATGCCAAATTGGTTCAGATCATGTGGTAAAATATAATTCAGAGAATTGTTCACTTGGTGAATTTGTTAATCTTGTCGATAACCGGTTGACACCAATTGCTAGGGTAAGTTAAATTCTAGCATTTCATATTTTAATGTCTATTACTGTATGCCTATAGTATTGATAAACACTTAAACTATCTTCATTCAGTATCAAAACTCAAAACACTGGCAATATCAAGACAGTCGCATAGGAGCCTATATCCCAATAATGACTGATCACTTCGATGGAGATTTACATCGATAACATCGAAAAAGTTAACAGATCAGATTCTGCTGAAAGTCAGATTTTCTATCGGTTAGAACTGAAAATTGTGCACGAATTCTCATTCTAATTAAATCTGCCCCAGATAGCCAATTTTTTTGAAGTTTTTAATTTTCAAACATATGTGGAAATACTTTGATTGGTCACTGAAGATTAACCAATTTAATGCCACCTAACCGTAGGTGCTGACGGAATTCTATCGATCATTTTGTAATGTGGTCCCCTGGTGATGTGGGTTCTAATCTCTGAGAGGACATCAGTCCCCTCAGGGTTGTAGTTATACCTTGCTGAAGAGTCGTAACAAGGATGAAATCTAAATGAACATCTTCTTGCCTATTGCCTTCACTTATCTTACTATCCTTTCCTAGTAAGCTGTATTAATTAGAAACTGGCGCTTTCCCTAAAATTATACCACGGGAAGCAGTGAAGGGAAGCCGGTGAGTGGAAGATATTCACTTCACTGTTGTTAGCAATTCCTAGGTAGTGATCAAACTGCCGACTACTTCCATGATGGAAGAATATGAAGTTAATCTCAATAGAACGTCATTTTCTAGTCATGTAACCGAAAATCACTGGCAGTTTTGATTCGGCTGCAAACTTTATGCAGTTCTACTCAGCTTCATACTGTAACCGCAGATAACCTAACGTCTCGATGAAAAGATACTTCATGGAATGATAATTACACAAACACCAAATAGAATATTAAAACAGCAAGTCAGAAGTGTTTAGTTATTTACGGAAGATGACAAGTGACAAATAAATAAGGTAAGTGCTTTTGCACCTACAAGATTCCCAACGTAAAATGCTATCACTCACGAATCTTCTTATGAAGCCTAAAAGTTTTTCCTGGGGATTTCTTGCATCTATTCAATGTCCAATGAAAGAGATTATCAACGTTCGTCCAAAAAATAATGGTGACTACTACCATAAAACCAGCTATAAATTTCTATCCATCTCAACTCTCTTTGTCTTTAGTAAATTCACAAATTAATTATATCCATTGGCCAGTATAACATTCTTTGTTGTCAATTTCCTGCCGGCTGACTTGTCAGTTCTATTCTGCAGCAAAGTAAGCCATAAATATTTTGATACTATACGAAACCATTTCAACTTCCTAATCAGAGCATAGAATGGCAATCAGCTCTCTACCTCAACTTCATCTACTTTGAGAAGGCCTTTGACAGCGTCGGCCGAGAAGTAATTTGGAAACTGCTTCAATACTACGGAGTACCGCAAACCTTTATCCGCCTCATTCAACAACTATATGAAGATGCCACATGCCAAGTAATTCACAATGGGAAGCTCAGTGATGCTTTTGAAGTGAAGACAGGAGTGAAACAAGGTTGCCTACTATCCCCCATGATATTCCTGATTGTGGTGGACTGGATCATGCAGCAAACAGTGGGGAGCTGTGAGAAGAGGGGATACGCTGGCTGGACAGAGGAAAAGAACCTAGAAGATTTGGATTTCGCCAGTGATGACTTGTACCTGATGTCACACAAACTTGAAGATCTGCAGGCAAAAACTAACAAGTTGACAGAAGAGGCAGCCAAGACGGGACTTTAAGTGAATATAGAGAAGACAGAAGTGATGAAGATACCGCACCACCACCATCAACAACAACAACAAACTCCAATCACCGTCAACGGGAGAAACTTGAAGGAAGTAACCTCCTTCACTTATCTAGGAAGCATTGTTTCAACTACAGGCGGGACGGACGAGGACGTCAAAGTCAGAATCGGAAAAGCAAGACAGGCGTTCATTAGCCTGAAACCAGTGTGGAGATCTTCTGCACTCAGCATGTGGAACAAGATACGGATTTTCAACACCAACGTCAAGTCAGTGCTCTTGTATGGCTCAGAGACTTGGCGCGTCACGAAAGGCATTTCCAATAAACTACAGACATTCATCAACAACTGCTTACGCTCGCTGCTGAAGATCAGATGGCCAGAAAAAATAAGCAACAAGGAACTCTGGGAACGAACCAACCAAGAAGCTATCACGCAACAAATATGCAGGAGGAAGTGGAGATGGATTGGCCATGCACTGAGAAGGCCGACTGAGGACATCACGTGTCAGGCCCTTGAGTGGGATCCCCATGGGAAGCGACGAGTTGGGTGTCCGAGATGAGGGTGACATGGAGGAGATCTTGCGAGGAGGGAATGAGAGGTTGTGGGCTGTCGTGGAACCAGGTTCGAAAGATCTCAGAGAACAGAGTTAACTGGAGACGTGCTAGTGAAGCCCTATGTTCCACTAGGAACCCAAGGGACTAATAATAATAATAATAATAATCAGCGATAACCAAAATGTCATCTATAGGGAGATCGACCTATGTACACCGTTGTTTATGACGCTGGCTGTTCATCCAGTCGTTTGGCTGCAAGTCGGAAGCAAGAATATCTCTCTAACTAACAGTTTTTCAGATAGCACTAGTTGGCAGAATGTCTTCATGTGTAGGAATAACGACTGGAGTTGAAGGAAATCCTTCCTATCTGAACAGAGTGATGTAGAAAGCTAGTTAGCCCAAACAACCATCATTCAATCTGTCGATCAGAGACCATTCTTTCAAGTATCACCGTCAAACAAGTTTTACTTCAGTTTAATCATAACCTGTAAGCCAGAAATCCCTGGAGTTAAGATATCAAACTGTAATCGATTTGAAGTTGTCTTTTGAGTGTTTATTGAGAGCCGCAATGCATCCTACTGATCGAATCCTTATGTGGAGTTCCAGATTCCTAGGTTGGCTATCACGAAAACGGAAACCCAATGAGAGAGACTTTTGGTGATGTAGCTGAGAATCCATAGCAATGGAGCAGATGCCCTCATCTTAAAGGTTCCATCGAATTTCATTGTTCTCTGTAGTCCGTCCCCTCTTTCTCTAGTGGCTTTTTACAACTACAGCTGGTTGTAATGCATTTAGATACACCTATCTGGATTGGTTCAACTTGAACTGTTATGTAGAAATGTCCACTCCCGTGTTGATACTGACTGATCTGTAGGATATTTTCGACTGAATAGTAACGTGTATCTAACTTCTCTGTACTTATCTTTCTAGTTAAGAGTGTACATACAACTTTTCTTTCAGGAATGTTGTCTTTGCCAGTTAATATGGAGTAAAAGTTCTATGAGTAAGGACGGCTTACTTGAAAATAATCATGTTATCACGCAAAGTGCTTGCCCTGATGGGAACTGTTGCAGTATGCTTAGCCAAAGTAAGTTCTGTATAAGTGCATTTTGTCATGTTTTTCTATTTTATACAATGTCAGTGAATAAACTAGGTAACTGATACGCTAGCAACAATGACCAATTCAATGTACTTTATGAGTTCAAATGTTGTTGTGGAGCTAGTTACATGGACCGTACTCAAAGGGCTGTATTCATGCCTACCCGTCCAGCAACATGTGCCGGCTTGGCTAGGAAAAGGAATAACTAACTTCATCAACAGTGCAATTCTTTCTCATTTAGTAAATAGCTGACATCAGAATAAGTTAGATCATAGTCTTTTTGTAATTTATCGTGTTGCTTGGGATCTCTCTAAAGGGACAAGACTTCATCTCTTATCTATAACCGAAACCATAAGAACCAACACAAAAAACCTGATCTATATGTTCTACAGAAATATGTGTATTTACTTTGTCTGTCTTGACCCGCTTTCGTCAAGAACACTTCCACCATAAATTACACATTTTAATCTCCCGTCCCATTTTATTCCCTTATTCTACTTTGTCTGACTCACTTCACTAAGAAACATTTATTTTCATATGTTGTTAGTTTTATACCCTTGTTTATTCATACTGCTAACAGTAATGAACCTTCAAACATTAAGTAACATTTCACATGGTTTTTCACTCTACTTGAATATAGCTTATCACCGATTAGTGATTATTCGATCCTCAGCTAATAAACATAGAAACATTCATTACCCCAGAAAGATGTATGTAAGTGAATCAGTGGTAACGTCACTGATTGCAACATTGGGTGATACGGGTTCGAATAATACCCTTTGCTGACGAGCGCCAACAGACATGAAACCCGGATCCAGGGCTTCCTGTCGACATCCTCCGACAAAATAACATCCGTCAAAGTGCACCGCGATGATGAAGCGTCTAGCTTCATGACCACACTAAAAAATGATCGATAGAATCTGGTCGGTACTGATGACTAGACAACATGAGATTGGTTGCTCTCCAAGGATCAATCAATGCATGAATCAATATCTCTAGAGTTTGTCGCCTTATATTCTGACTGTTCTGTTCATGCTGATTTAATTGCAAAACTAGCGATAGACTGATTTTAAGGTGGTATACATCACGAAGTGACATGAGTTGGAGAAATATTTTAAAACCTGAGGGTGCTATGTAACTATTTCATCCGAATATGGAACTCCTCAGCAGTATGCACCGACAAGTCCACCACCAGTCTAACTAAGTGCCGTCCGGTTTCATTGTGACCACATTGTCATTCAACTACTGGATGGGAATTCAATGATCAGCATTTTATTACCTCTGAGGATTCGTTATATAGGATGACTTTATTCAGTTTTATCGCTGAGTAAGTCCGACTTGGCTTGCACCAGCTGTCACTACTTTTCTTCAGAACTTAGAGAAATCTTATTTTCAAGTAAATCAGTAATGAGTACTAGACAGTAGTCCAGTCTGGGGGTTTGTTATTCAGTGGTAACTCGCTCATCGTGAAACCTGACGGTGCTGTGTTAGATCTCTGATGGCTTTATGGGTGGATACTGCTCAAGAGTCCTGTACTAGGAGGAAGCTACTTTCTGGTGGTAGTAGGTTTTCAACGGTATTCGAACTGGTTTCCTTCCATGACGAGTACTACCCTGAAATCAATAAATCCCCATGGACCTCCAAATTGAAATGCATCCGTTCGATTTGATCTCCACTGTCCTATAACACTGAATAATTCAATACTGAAGTAATTTCATGCTATGCCTTATATTGGCTATTGCATTTCACCCATTGTTATGGACTTATAACTGCAGGGCCTGAAGAGGAAGTTATTGAAAACAAGTATTCACTCAAATGATTCTTCAACTAAGTATGAAAAGCATTTTTTATGATTGTGAACAATTTTCTTTGCTTTTTGATCATTTCAATGGTATAGACATTAGTCTTCATGGAACTACATAAACCTAACCGTGAACAACTTAAACAGTGATCTTTTTTAGTTGATGTTAACCCTAGAGCCCCAATCCAAAAGTTTTTATCGCTCTGGTGGGGATTTACTTTTGATACTGAGTGGTGAATGAAGATGAAATGAAAATCTGGTGCACGACAGGATTCTAACCATTAGCCTCCAGATTACTGACCTGGTGTTCTACCGACTTAGCTACGAGACCCGCAGGCTGATCAGATGTTAGGTTTACCTCAGTCACCAAAACTTTGTCTTTCAATGAGAATATAATGAACTAAAACCTTATTGGTAAGTGCTAGCAGAAACGAAGACTGTTTTCAGGGTTTCTAATTAGCTGCTTTCAGTCGTCAAGCTTCAAAATGTTGCTAAGTAGTTGATCAAATCCCGCATAACTACGATCCAGACAGAAGTTTATGACACAGTTTTAGATGAGAGTGACCCACTATTTTCATGTGGTTAATGATCTGAGAGATTTTCTTAAATGATAAGCCATTATAATTTCTATAAAACATGTTATATTTTACATAAATTCAGTAAATGCCTTTAAAGGACTCACTTAATAAACTGTTACAGATAATCTTTTGTCGCTTGGTTATTTTTTGATCGTAGCTATCTCAGGGGTACGGAGCTGTTTGTAAAAGTAAAAGTATTGACCAGTCGATGTTGGCTTTCTGTTTAGACTCCTCTTTATTGCTTCATATGGCCTACTTAGTAATAAATATCTAGAAAAGCCATATACTAACTCTGTTCTTCTGTAATGAAGGGAATGGCTGAATTGCAGCTATTAAGTCTTTCAAAAATAATGTTTATGAATCACATCTTGGAGAAACATAAACGTATCATCCATATAACAAATACAAGATATTATTATTTCACGACATTTTCATCTTAGCAATCAGCAAGTTAAAACTTAAATTTTGGAATTAGAATCTTCTGTAGCACGGTGTATGTGTACAGTTTCTTTGAACAGTTTTGCAACATGACTGACTGTAAAGTAGATACACGATGAAATGAAAATCTAAAAATCAAGATTAATGCCAACTGAAATGATGCGATCTGATACAAGCTAACAGTTTTCTAGGTACACGCTGATTTTCATGGCTTGTTCAAATGATACTAATTTCTGAGTTTCTTGAATATCAGTTTGTTAATCAGTAGTAATTATTGATGAATTATTTTTTTCAACGAAATAGAATTAATGGAAGATAATTCAAGTTCTGTGTCTAAGTCATCCATGATCATGTCTGACGACTCAAATGTTCATCGAATTATTAAAGAATACTTGACTACTCCTGAAGAGATAATGACAACACTTATGACTTCCACCACACCAATAACAACATCGTCTACAACGACCACAATGAAGTCGGAAACAGCAACAACAATAACAATGACAAGTGAAGAAAATTCGAAAACAACGGATACTTTAGATGAAGATGATGATGAGTTTTCATTCAGTCTTGTTGGTGGGATAGATTTACCAGATTCTTGGTCAGAAACAGATAATGATAATACAGTTTTGATCGAGGGAGGTAATGATCACAGTCTGAACTCAACAACTACAGAGTCTGCCGTAATCAGTCAACCTTTACTGATGACTGATGCTAATGATTTTACAACTTCAACTTCTACTACCACTGAAACTACAAAGGTAACCAGCACTTTTGTTACTTCTAGTGTTCAATTACCACTTGAGACAACAGTAAAACCGGATAAAAGAACTAAACAGCTGAATATTATACAATGCCAAGAAAGTTTTGTTTGGGATGAAAATCAACAGTTATGTGTTAAACAAGTAATTTCATGTCCAGTTGGAATGTATCTCAGTAAAGAAACAAGAAAGTGTATTCCAATGTCACCAGACAGGTCAGACTGTCCTCCAGGTTATAGGCTATCTAGTACAAGAGATGAATGTGAGGGTAAGTGTTCAACTAATGTTCAGTAAGGCACTTTTCTGAACCAAGTTCAGTTTTAACTGTGACTACAATTCATTTAAGACCTAATTAACTCTAGCTTCACGAACAGATTAAATTAAAAAGAGTCCTTAGTTGTAAAAGATTATTTGCCACAGAAAGAATGAATGCTTTCTCTGAAATAACATGCCAAAATGACCACGTAATATGGAATTTTTCAGCTGGTAGTGGGATATCTCAAACTATTGCAAAAACCGATGTATATTAAACAGGCAACGACTCTTCACAGTTGAATCGTTTTCTGACTGCCTAAATATCGTTTCAACAGGATTTTCTTTGGAAAAAACACCTTGCCAAGATCACTGAGTGTGTTCCTATACACAGAAGTGTCGTGAAAAAATGAAATATATTACTGAAAACATGATTAGTTATAAACCACTGATTTGGACAATTCGGTTATATGGGCTGAATCTGTTTGGGTATCAGGCTAATGAGGTCAGCCCCTAAAGGGGGAGGAACGGCCGTACGGTGATTGAATCACTTTGATATGGCTAGCGAAATCTTCATATTAGCCTTCAGGGCTTCTAGCTACCCATTTTGTTCACTAGCTTCGTTAACTTTAGAACATTTCAAGCTATGAGTGGTATTTCGCAGATGTCCGTTCCGTCCATCGATCAAGTAAGTATAACGCATAGCTAATTCCAGATAATGTGGACCAAAAAGGCTTTTGCACGTACTGAAGATTAACAAAATAGTTGCTTTACAGTCAGGACTAGTGAATGATAAGAAGAATGTTTAACTAGGATCTGCTATACTTCCACTTAGGTTGTAAGTGAAAGTTATCATTCCTTCTGAATTCGGCCACAAGACAATTATTATTTACATTGACCAGTCACTGGAAAGTAACCACTTTTATACTACCAAGTCATAAGTGCCTTTTAGAAAGATACTAGGGACTGCGTATTGTTCCTTTGCTTTGATTTATTCACGAATAATGGTCGTAGGATTACAAGTAAGAGGGATGAAAGTCACAAGTTAATCGCTTATTTTTTGATTAGACTTCTTTTGATCAGCTTATATTGCCATCACATGTTGGATATGGTATAGTATACTTAAGACAACCATCGGCTTTGCTCTAATCTTTCCAGTAATATCACAACCCACATACAAATTATAAATCAGCACTGATGATTAAGTTTGCAAAGCGCTGACCAAATCATACAGAACATGCAGGACATTTGTTCACGATAAGATCATACACCGGATTCTAGTGGTTGTTTATCTGAAAACCTTGAAAATCATGTGCAACAGGTTAATCAGTTTGCAAATAATTTACAGTCTGCACGGTCCACTTTGACATTTCTCCCAGCTGAGTAGTTTCTTAACTATCCAACTGTGAAAATCATCCGACAGTCAAGGTTACAAGGGATGATCTCTGACCCAAAAGTGTCATGACTCAACGAAACATACTACTGAGCAAACTGAGTAGTTGAAAATCACTTAGACTGGTCTGCAGACTTCTTCAGCTAGATCAGAGTAATCTAAGTACCCGATGACTGCTTTGCACGTCTGTGGCTGAGCCCATCGGCTAGTCAGATCCGGGTGATTCGAACAGTTAGTCTCTGTTGTCCATGCACACTGCTGATGAGCTTGGCTTCAAACGAGTGAAACGGTCTTCGGGTATTTTCGTTACTCTGATGTGGATCGAGAAATCTACGGATCAGCGTAAGTGGTTTCCAACTACTTAATTTGTTCGGTAGTAAGCTTCGTAATATCACATTCAAGTTAAATGGCACCCTTAATACCTGCTAGTATATGTGAGGAAAGATGGTGGTCACAAGCGTCTGCAATCACAATCATTCCTAACTATGCTAGTTGGAAATAAAGAAGCCTTATGTCTTCTGGTATCTATAAAATCAACATAAGTGGTGATTTTCGGAAAATAAAGATAATAAATATGGAACCATTGAGGCCTTTGTGAGAGCTTCGAAATGAGGTAATCTAGGTTTCAGGATTGATTCTCAGTTATAACAATGAACAATGTTCATGTTATATAAAGCGTAGACTAAAGTTATAAAAATGATGATCACTGATTTACTACCTAGTAGTTTGTCGCCAAGATTCCATACTAAACTAATTAGAGTGGTTAATGAGCAGTGCTAAAACTGATAAATGACTGTCCAGTGTTCTTCGATAATAAGAGTTTATTTCAGGTGATAATTTTGTCTTTTTGTGGGTGGAAAACTTCACCAAAAATTCATGTTTTAGTGGACTGGAAATCGAAACTTAAATGTTTTTTTGTCGTATTAAAGTTTGACACCTATTTTTCAGTTTATGTGCTTGAACTATGCTTGTAGTATCCATAATACTCGATTAAATCTGCGTTTCACACAAAAATAACTCAGTTAATCTATTGATATGTTTAGTTCTTATAAATATTCATATCAAGTCACTTATATTTCAGTAACATAGTGTTTGGTTAATTAGGTGTATAATCAATGGGAAAAATTATGTGATCACTGAAAGTTTCCAGATTCTAAGATTATATGCTATAAAGTTGTGTAACATGGTTGATAAAGGTGGGTTAGATGGAAAGGCTTCGGGTTTCCGATAACCGTTACCTTCTCAGCATAGGCTGTGTCACGGTATTACCACATCAGTAACGTAGAAATCAGATGTAGGAACTTCAGCAGAAGAAGTGGTTTAGTTGATGAGATTGTAAACCTGTAGAGATGCAGATGGATGAAATATGTGATACATATGCCTAGTTACCGTCTTTCCTATCAAGAATTCTTAAGAGAAACAGGTTTAAGAGTGAAGAGAGTTATAGTTTGCCAGACTAAAGCCTAGCATCAGTTCTTCGACTCACTAACTGTTGATCTAAGCTGTATGGGGAAATTTAGACTTCCAGACTAAGGTTGGTCTGACAACCAAAGTTTGCCTTTTTTTCTGAAGTTGAAATGATGTTTGATTAATTTTGAATTGCATTAGAGGGTTTTATTAACTAACAAGCGTAGTGATAGTTACATAGTCAACGTTTTGTTGAAACACCTATTTTACAGATATCAATGAATGCATTGAAGGTCTTGGTTCGGGTCAACTGGCATGTGCAGGTGAAGGAATAAAGTGTGAAAATCTACCAGGTTCATACAATTGTTCGTGTAATTCTGGATTTTCTATGGCTTCAGATGGAACTTGCGTTGGTATGCTGAAGATTTTCAAAATTAATACTTATTTTTGTAATAGAGAGTAATTCGTATAACCTGAGGATTGAGATGAAGATAAGATCACTAACTAGCTTTCTCAGTTTAGTTGATAGAGGACTGAGTCGGTAGTTCCAACTGTGTCACGATCTAAATCTCAATAGAAATAGACAGAAGGTTGAGTTTTGGAGATCATTAACAAAGCTGCAACTTCATGGCATACAGGAAGCTAACAGAACCAGATATAATCAAAAAACGATCTTGTACCACAGGAATGAGTGTTCTCGAACTAACAAACGAAGGATACAATTTGGAGCCTTGTTTGAATTAATTGGTTTCGAGGTAGTATTCATCACGGGGCTACATCAGTTGACAAACTGTCAAAAATCTAGGTGGCACTAGACGGCTCCCTCATCCTAGTTTGGGACTTCCAAGCAGTACGAAAGCGAGACCCCATCCGAAGTCTGACTCTGGTCACTCAGTGCCGGAATTGACGGAGGTAGGATAACGTGAACCACTAGATTTCGACTCACTGTCTCACTGGGAGAGTACTAGGTTCAGGCCGTGATAGTGTTAGGGGTGCGTGCATTTGAGGAGCCCCATGCCAGGATGAAATAAGTTGTTATCTGCTCTTGGCGTTCCAATGGTTTTCCAACTGATGTTGATTCGTGATGAATACCCCCTTGAAACTAAGAATAAACATTATTAGATGCAGTTATATAGCGCCATGAAAAAATGGCTTAAACATCTCATGCCTGTTGGACTCACTTGAAGCTGATCACAGTTGAGAGAGATTTTGTCGCAGCAAAAATTTGAAACACTAACTGTTTGCATTTGTGAGTCAACAGTCTCTAGTCCATTTTTTCCACAAATTAAATCTTCTAAGCTTTTTTGTTTGAACCAACTACTATGCTCATTACTAATATTTAGATCTCTATCCCATTGTTTTAAAGCAAAACGTTTTCATCAAAAATATTCATCCCTTACCTGAGAAGTGAGTTGAGCATTGCTTGGAACAACTAGTTTGCCTCATAGATTTCGAAAAAAACAGTCATGTCTCACGTTGATGTCTTGGATATTTGCATCATATTTAGAGGCGGTGAGAGAATGAAAAGTAGTCAAATGAAAAGGTAAAGTCGAAGTCCTAAATAATGATGAAAGCTGAAATTTCTAATAATGTTAGGGAGAAATGTGGGCACTGAGGTACAGCATAATTCTATATTCAGATTGTTTATTTGATTGGTATAGTTTACTGGATGACATTACCAGTAGAATATTTTGCTCATATTCTTAGCAAAGTAAACATATGACATTCAAACTTTTATTATATGGTCCAATAGTTCTCCATTTCTTTGTTTTAATGGTAGTAAAATTTTTCACATATCTACAATATGTGATGAGTCATTCCTGTTACATGTGTGATGTGCGGAGTCAATGAACAAAGATTTCGTGACAAGTCTCCCCCTCCATCTACTTACATTGGATTTTAGAATTGTTACCCTATCCCACCCACCATATAGTGTGATTATGGGTCGGTTCATGTAGAGCAGTAGACTGGTTTTTCTAGAAATTATTTATCTTAGTAGGGTCTACCATTGTATGTCTTGTTAATTTTTTGTGGTTTGCTATTCTGACTAACCCAGATTGGCTCCTCTACCTCAAAAAGTTTCCCTCTAAGCAAGTTTGTGGGTTTAACTGCCACCCTTACATCAGCATTCTTAAGAATTCTGCGTAAAATTTTAGATGTACCTTCTGTATACGATAAAACTACAGAGGATTTGAATTCCCTCTTTGGCATGTTACCAGCACCACTAACATTATCACTTCTTCTTTAGTCAGTCCTTAAAAACCTTTTAATTATTAAGGAGTAGTGTTTCTATGATGTATTTCGTTTCTACCCTACTAGTCAAACTCCTAGACTGACTACTTAGACCTTAGACATGTTATCAGGAGAACTTTGATAGATATAGAGTGGGATTATGTGAAATCCAAGTAGTACAATCCAATTCACTTATGAATTATAAAACGAGGAAGGAGAATTACCTATAGCGGACTCTAAGACCAAGAAAAGAGAAAGTAGAACATTGTGCTCGAAGCGTCATCCAGTAAATTATACTGTGTTACTGTGTGCTACATCAAAGAAACTATCTAATATGAAACTGATATTGTTTGAACTGTGAGAAATGGTTAGTAGATTGAAAGGTTTCAAGGTGATACCTATCACGCAGCTGTATCAGTTCACTAAACAAAGATTACTAGAAACACTAGGCAGATGTTTCATCCTAGTTTAGGACTGCTGCCTAGTATGCCTCTACAACTTCATGATGGATCCAGCTCAGGTCAGCCACTGGGTCGAAACCCAATGGTCTACCGTTTCATATGTCTACCAGTTCGTCATATAAAGCACGGCATTCACTAAGTATCATCGACAAGCACTTACTCCCATAACGGTTGATAGCTTATCAATAGAACCTCGAGAAATCCATCCCAAAACAAGTGAAGACTAGTTCATTTCGTGGTTTTGGAGAGTTGGCTGGTTTTAAAGCAGTATTCGTCCCAGACTAACGTCGGCTGGAGAAGCATCGAAAACTTAGGAACAGTCAACAGCTGTTTTCCACTAGTACAGGTCTCCTCAGCAGTATATATGGGGTTTCAACCAAGTGACTGAATTCCAGCGTGTTCGCCGAGGGATGTAATAATCCTTTGTTCGATCCCCAGTGGAGTCGTGAGTGCATACATACTGCTGCAACAAAACAGCTATCCAGTGCTGTTAAATTTCTTCTGTCTCTCCAACTGATGTATTGATGTGGTACTGAACATGCTTTCAAATCGCAGTTCAGTGAGAAAGTTAAATGTGATAATTAACTGTTTATGGACAAATAAGCTTGCTTTGTACCTTTTAATAGCTAAGACTTTAATAAACCTAAAAATGTCATTAACAGACTTTGTAAAGAGATTAAAATGATATGAAAACACGAATCTTATGGCTCGTCTTGATAATGTTTTGCAATCAAAAAGCATAAGGGTTTAGAATCAGCTCTAGTGCGATAAAGTCATTTGGTCTCTATCTCAAACTCCTATAGAGTGTGCTTTGAAGCTCTTCCTAGCGTGGATCTATCTATCGTTTCTCAGTAGTGTGCTGTACCGAGTGAGCTGACCGTATTTCAGTTCCAATTTAGTGGTTGGAATGACTACATGACTAAAATCGCAAGGAGTCCCCTCACCGTTGTTAATCATGCAACATCCTACTAATTATCTTGCGTAGCTCAGTACATGGACTACAGCGTCATTAACTGAGAGTCTGTTAGTTCAAGTTCTGTTAAGACCAGTCTATCAAACGGGTTATTGTAAGGTAACCTATTCAATTAGGATTTTTCAAAGACTGAAGAAATACAAGTTTCATCTCAACTGTAAGATTCACGTTTGTCCACATTAAACAGAATTACTTTCGTTTTTCATTATCATTTTGTCTTCTAAATTGACTGTTTATCCAGTCGATCTCTACACTGTGTTTTTTTGCTGTTTCACTGTTTTACAGTCTTTTCTTGAATTGTCATTAAGGTATATGTTTGGTACCCTGTCTTCTCCTCTCCACCCTTCTTAATAATAAAAAATACTGATAAGATAAAATAGCATAGTTATTCAGAATATACGTGTCAAACTATTATCATACTTTGACGTTTTGGAAAGCAGATCTGATATTTTTTTAACTATTCCGCTATAGGTTACAATGCTTTTGCAGATCCTTTTTCGCTTATTAACAGAGAAATTTTACAGTAATCTCTAAATTTTTCAAACAAATTTGACTAGATGCAACAGGAATAGTCAAAGCAAAAAAAAAGTTGGCACATTCCAAATCGATAAAAGTTTGTTTTATTTATTTCTGGAATAACAGTAATTCTTTTTTTTGAATTCTCGTAAGAAGATACAATAGTCCCATTTACTTAGGATCTTGTAATCACATCTTAAAATTAGAGTCAGGCATTCTGCTACGAATATTCTCCACTGATCAACAAATGTACCAGTCTTACAGAATGACAAATGAGGCCTGATTAGCTCAATGTTAATGTCTCTAACTACAGCAGTGGGTGACGTGGGCTATAGTCTCTCAGGAGACATCGACTTCGTCCAGGTTGCAGTTACTCTTTGCTGATGAATGCAAACAAGCAGCAAAGACAGGTGATGCACGGTTTGCCCCCCGAATCCTTCCGTTTAGTTAACAAATATGCTCTTTGATTAATATAAGTATAGAATTTCAGCACCATGGGAGAATGTAGTTTCATCTTACAGTGGACAGCCTCACACAGCACACGGTAACCTAATTACCGATGACATTCCCAGTACAAATAATTTCTCAAAGCAAAAAAGACGTTTAGCGAAGAGTTACTCTTTTCAGCGATATCATTCTCAAGCTGTAGTCATATATATACATATAATTAACATTATAACAGAAAAAATGTTTCATGAAATATTTTTGAACGGAGTTCAGTTATGATTAAAAATCAAATTACAAAAGGAAAATTACGTAATGTTTGAAATAGTTATAGAGAGAAATTTTCATGAAATATTTTGGAACGGAGTTTAGATATGATGAAATATCAGGCTACAAGAGTGATTACGTAATGTTTGAAATAGTAATGAGAAGAAGACTTACCAAGATCGCACTAATATTTGATTACTAAGTTAAATCATATAACATGGTGAATGCAAAGAGAAATCAGAATTATAGGAGTGGAGGAATGTAATGTGTGAGAGGATCTGAATGAAGAAGTTTTTGAAGGGAGAAATGTTCCTATAGGTTATGTTCATTGCAACTCGAGTGACTGGACAAATTTCTTTTGAACGCAGAGTTCAGGCTTCAAAATATTAATTACCATGGCTTCCACAGTTTGAAGGAGTTTTCGGTATACACCTTTCGTGAGATTTGTGTGAACCCTATAGATGACCCTAAAGCTGTTTTCTGCACTTACCCTGTGGTCATAATCGATCAGATGTTCTCGAATAGAGCTGTGAACTGTTCACCTTTCCCCACTGTAGAACCAGGCTGACACGTGCTTAGGGATGCACTTGGAAAGCAAACTCTGAGTACGGCCGATATACCTTGCTCCATAGGAGCAGGTGAATTGATGAACACATATCGACGTGGTGAAGGGAGCTAGTTTATCCTTTGCGCATAATCGAAGCATTGGGTACGTGGAGAAAGTCAGTCTGAATTCGGCAGCATAGAACGTCTTTCTCAGTGAGCATATCAGGTGGTTTCCTGATATATCTGCTAGTGTCTCCGTTGAACTGTAAGTTCATAAAAGAAGCTTCTTAGAAGCCATGTGGGGGGAATCGTTAGTTGCTTTCAATTTCATCGCTTTAGCGATGAAACGTTCAGGATACCGGTTTTCAATCAGAACACTTTTGGAAAATTTAGTTCATCTTCCACAGTATCCGGACTACAGATAGTGCGGATCCTATGGCATAAGGAGCGAATAAAATTTTTTTAAGTGCTTAGAGGCACCCAAGTATGAAAATTCGTGAGTTGTCCATTCCATGTGGATTTTTTGTGCATAGATTTTTCGGGTAATCCATTGTCTCGTCTTTTTGACCGCACGTCTAAGAAGGATATCTTAGAACTAGGTTCCTTCTCTAATGTGAATCTGATTGAAGAGTGGCAGTTATTAAATTGGGATAGGATATCTTCTAGATTATCCATACTATTGGAGATGATGAAGGTATCATCTACGTATCGCTTATAAAAATCGAACTGGTTGATTATTCCGTTTAGGTGTGTTCTCTAGCTTTGAAATGAAGAAATCTGCAAGCAAGGGTCCCAATGGTGTACCCATAGTTATGCCATCCTTTTGTCTATATATTTCACTATTGAAGGAGAACTGAACATTCAAGGTGCATCTCAACAGCAGCTCCTTCAGATAATGTGTGGATATCCCAATATTCAACCCAACAGAATCAATATAGTCACATATGTAACAGATAGTCTCAGTCAAAGGGACACTTGTAACCACATCTAAAGAGAATATGATTTTGTCAGAGCAATTTACACTGCCTATAAAATTGACAGACTGAAAGGAGTCGCGAATTGTATGAAGTGAAACTTGACATCTTATAGGCTCCACTGGGCAGTACGATGGTATGGTGATCCTGTCATGTCGAGAATAGGTCGTAAAGGTGTGCCTTCTTTGTGCACTTTTGGCAGTCGGTACAGCCTAGGGATATTTGACTTAGATGGTCGCAGGGATCCAAATAATTTGGAATTTATGAAAGAACCGGTAATTAATTTTTAAAGAATGTCGGTTATTTGTTTTTCAGTTTGTTCCGTCTTATTCTTCTCGCCGATGGGTTTGATAAACTTTGTTTCATCAGAGAGGATGGATAACATTTTGTCGATGCATTCTTGGCAATTCATCAAGACAACACCAGTTCCCTCAGCAGGACGTAGCATTATAATCCCTTTGTTGTTCTTCAATTCTCCGACTTCATCCCAGTGTTTCTTGGCTAATATAGATTAACTGTTTGGCTTTGTGCTGATAAACTTGTGACACCTGTCAAAGACTGTTGACTTGAAGTGTTCCAGTTGCTCATCCGATATAGGTATCAAGCCATGAGTCTGAATAATGAGGTTTTCAAATCCCACTTGTGTATGTAGTTTGTTGATGCTTGTAAACTTGATACGAAATTTGGGACCGAGGAATAATGCTTCTAGTTGAATTGTCGACAATTTAATATCTGATAAGCTGAAAATATGTTTCTCTGGTTTACTCGGAAACCGTCTTGCAGTAGATGTGGTCGCTTTCAAACTGTTTAGTAATTCCAACTTAGCCATATTATACTGTTTCTCTGAGACTTCTATGATATACTCTTCGAAAGATTGACTTAAACTTGGTTGTAGATCATAGACAGCATGCATTCTAAGGTGAATATTTCGTTCCAGTTCAGTTATGCGTGATTTAATTTCGTCTATACTGTTAAGTGTTTGACGCTTCAGAGTCTTTGAGTTTGCCTGAATGTGGTTGCGTCTAAGTGATTCCCAATATAGCTTGAGTTATTCGTGTCAATCGAAGCAGTCTCTTAAAAACTGGACCTTAGTTTTCGCTTTGGCAATCTTGGTGAAAAAACGGAGGAATCCAATTTATCGGAGTAAAGTATTTTACTCAGTTGAACCAACAGAACTTTTTATACTACGGTGATTGTTTATGAGTGAGTTTGTAGGTTTGAATACTACTCTTATCTTAGCGTTTTGGAAATTCAGTTTAGTGCTCTTAGATGTCTTCCTTCTTTGGTAACACTGTAAAGGTTTTGATTTTTTTTCTTACATTGTCACTATTATAATGGCAAATATTAATTAACACATCTGTTGGTGCTACTGCTCATCTTTTCTTGACAATTTCTTATGAATTCATGGGTTAATTTAGCAGAACAATTATTGATCGGTAGGGTATCCTTAGTATATTATCATTTCTTGTACAAAATCTTTTTTTATTAAGATTTTTAACCCCGTTACTCAGACATTTTACCAAGTCCTATCTTATCAAGTGTTAGGTGAAATGATTCGAAGTCAGAGTAACGATTTTAATGTTAAGGTTTATTCTAGATACTAGTGTTTAAACTCTGATATTGTTTTTGTTTTAGTCTGCAATCGGCCATGGATAAATTCCATTCTTCACATACTTATTCATAGGTTAACTGGACTGCTTTAACTACTGAATTATCATCATGAGCAAAAGGCAAAAAAACGGTCTTTTCCTTCACATGAATATTTATCAATTATTTGTCAAGATGTTACAGAAATACTTTTCTTTTCAGTGGAAAATACACTGAGTCTTCAAAAGTTAGCCAGAGAATGTTCGATAAATATACAAGTCATAAGAATTTATTATTTGTTAATACTTGTAATTTACCAGTGACTTACTAGGTCGAACAGATCGATCTCTGTTGGTGTATGCGTTTTTTTGGAAGAGGAAACTCGTGTTCTGGATTCTGCTGCTAGCTACTACCAATTAAATCAAGACAATGAGCATTCAGGCAATATCGAAACATCCGCATAGGAGTCTGTAGGTTAAGAAGGGGACTGTCAATTCGACCCGGTAAAACAACGAGCAATTAAAATTATCAACAAATAATAATAAATGATTCCCGTTTAACAAGAAGTGGCTGTCGTACTTCAGTGGCCTAATAAATAACACTTTGACATTTGAAGCGGTGAGTACGGGGTTCCCATCTCTATAGGAACACTGTTGAAGAATCTCGAGTACGACTGAATGCGCGTGCTGAATTCGACTCCTAGCAACCCCCAAGCAAATTTTCAAAAAAACCATAATAATTTAGTAGTAGCCTTACCGCTGGCTTGTCAAGTTGCATTCATTTTAGTCTCATGGATAAATATGACAAAATGGTTGGACATGGTGAAAAACTACACAATTAACTTCCTACTAACTTTTTCGCCAAGTGTTCAATGGATATGTTTCGCTTTCGGCTTATATGTATTGATTGGTCACGGAAGTGCAACCAATTTCATGTTGTCTAGTCTTGAGTGCAGACCGAATTCTATCGATCATATTTGCAATGTGGCAACCAAACTGGGAAGCTCAGCGTCGCGGTGCACATTAGTAGATGTGACATTCAATACATGTAAGCCTATCCTACAGGAGGTCAATCGCAGCCCAAATAGCTCAGTGGTAAAGCCACTGACTACAACACTGGGTGACGCGGGTCCGAATCTCAGGTGGGACATCAGTTTCATTGAGTTGCAGATACGACTAGCTGACGAGTGCCAAAAAGCACTAAACCTAGGTTCAGGGCGTCCTGCCGACTGCCTCCAACCAACTGACTTTCGGCTTATATTAAACAAAAAGTAGGCGTTTATTTCTTCTGATTAAAGTAAATTAAACCAGCGGGTGGTACATCCTCATCTATGAGGGTTATTGCTCTAGTTGTGTTTGAGATCAGTATAACTAGTCATCTGAAGAAAGACTGTGAATTTATCACTTGAGCATAGAAGTCCAAGCCCGGTCTCTATATTCATAAGAGATATGTTCATTTTCCACTATTACTATTCCATTTTTCTCATCTCTTCTATTATCTACTACACTATTACACAGTCACTTTGCAGTTGAAGAAACAATTTACTAATCCACTCTAAAACCGAATTTTGTGTTGACCTATTAACTACAGATGGAGATCACTTTTTTATAGTAATTTGAAACAAGAATGTACAGTTTTGGAAATGATTGATTGAAAAAAAGCATTTCCTTCGATGAATTGTCATTCGCTGGTGTTACATTTGATGATAAAAATACTTTACAAGAAAAATTGTAGGCTTGGAATAAGTTCACGCAAAGTAACGGATGCATTTCGATATTTCTTTACAAATGTTTCTAGACTATGAAACGAAACTGTGTGAATCTTAGAGAAAAATGTCCTAGTCTTTTTATAAAAGGTTTTATTTATTTCGGAACGAGTCCATGATTATGTGAAGAGGTGTATGCCTTCGTCATTATTTTATTCTCCGCTTACTGTGTTATAAAATATGTATTATGTAAGAGCAATTTAACTGTCAGTTCAAAAAAATCAACAAGCATCTACTGTTTGTTAAACGCATATATATTTCGATTTCATTCAAGGTGTGCAGAAAAAGAGATTACCTTATTCCACGGATAACAGTCGCTTCTCAGAAGGTTTTTAGTAGCAATGTTCTTGAAAATAAGATGAGATCTCTAACAAACAAAACTTTGATTAGTCATTATCTTTCAGAAAACACCTTTCTTTAAAATACTAAGGAAATAAATATGCATTTTCATATTATTTTACTAAAGAATGTATGCTCAAACCTTTGCTTTAATTCAACCTGCAAATAATTATTTCTACTTTCATAAACAGTTGCCTTTTTTATGACCAATTTAGATATTAATGAATGTACATCAATGTATAGTCCTTGTCTTATTGGCCAGCAGTGTCGTAATCTGATTGGTTCATATCAGTGCCTACGTGAAGTTCCGTGTGGTTACGGTTATGTACTCAATCCTAGAAATCAACAGTGTGAAGGTAAATTTTTAGATCAAATTCATACAAGCGATAAGTGCTTCTTTTTCTAAAAATTAATTATCGTTGAATAAGACATTTGGAAGATAAATACTGCGGGATCATATTTTTCAGTAATTTCTTTACAGTTATAAAACAACTTAGAATGTAAACAATGATAAATGGTGTCGCAGACTAGCCTTATTGATGTTGGGTAATGACTATAGGTGGAACGAAAACTTGACCGATGGCAGGACTACAAATAATAACTCCCACGTTACAGATCCGAAACCCTGCCAGGCGAGCTGCAAGACCCAACTACTGACCGGATAGACAAAATCAACGTAGAACCTCGCACACACATCCATAAGTTCCAGTTGCTACATTTCAAAGTAGTACACAAAGAACAAGTTGATAGGAAAGATTGGCACTAGACTCGACAAAGATATATTGGAGGAGAAAAAGTTTGAAAATGAAGGTTAGTCGAAACATTTAAGCTTCAGAAGACGTCAGGCAGTGAAGACAGCTGCGCCACTGCGATCGATTTTCTGCTATATCAGCACAAGTCCTCAACCACTGATTCTTATCGTCTCAAGGACATCATCCAGGAAGTTCATACCTCCCTACACGGCTCAGAACAAAAGTCACTGACTTTATCGATCTGCGTCACGTCTTAGTCTGGCCACTTTAAGCTTTCCTACAACCTAGTTCAACTAATACTAGCATTGCACACCAAGATAGACTATGGCTTGACATGCACAGCATATGTCCACACCATCTCAGTTGACTAAGGTTCACAACATCATTGATCGTCTTGCCTACCTTCCCTAGTACCCTTCACCTGGCCTCTACATTGCCGCTTACCAGGTATTAACTTTGTTTCAAGTAGTCTCATTAACAAGTAATAAGAATGGAGAATTTCCTCTCTAATTCAGTTCGTTTTGGAGTCGAACAAAAAGACCTGTTTGTCAGCCAGTTGAGCTATAAAGAACGAACATGTATACATCAATCCACCACATCACAGCCTTGCAAAAATCACGGTGACTGAAGTGTCAAAATATGAGTCTTGTAGCTCAACTAATAGAACGCCTGATGAGTACGTACGGATCACTCACTGAAATTCTACGGTGACTCACGTTTTCTTTTCCCCATCGATTACCACTCAGAATCGGATAATTATTTTTGTCAACGTTTTGTAGCTATATCAGATGAAATGACAAATTACTGAGCAATCATTAAAATAGGTCAAATAATCCAGGTTGACAAATATGCGGGTAGAAACAACACCTTTGGAAGGAAATTATTCTCCAGTTGGTAATGAATCATATGAATCATATACCTAACATGAATAGGAATCCAGTATCACATATGCCAGGCATTTGTTGATGACCACTCTCAAGATCAATACTTATGGCTGTTTTCACTTCTTCCATATTACTTCAATTCAAGTTAACACAAGCTTTTCAGACGCACCCTTGCCCTTGGGAAAAAACCTAAACTAAATAATTTATTATTGTAAACATTACTTGCTGTTATATGGTTGTAGGGAAACCACAAAATCATTTGAACGCCTGGTTTCAATTTATTGAACAAAAAACTGTTTTATAATTATTTAACTTCCTCTTGCTATTCCTAACTTTAGAGGGCATTTATAAAATGACAACTTTTCATCAGATTTCAGCAAGTATTTCTATGTACCTTTATTAATAAAACACCTGATACACCCCGAAATATTCTTATGATTTAAAAGTTGACACATGTGAATAGAGAAAGAAGATGATTGCACTCATGATGACTGAAATAAAACTGCATATTCTGAGAAGTTAGTCAACGCATACACAGCTTATGAAGACAATGGAGAATATTCATTTCAGTAAGTTCTCATCAAATTAAACACAAGGGGTAAGATTAGCCAGTTATGTTTCTCTATCCAAGAACACTTAATGGCTTGGTTTGGTTGGAAAAAGTTGAAGCGAAAGTGTCGAAAAGCTCTATCCTAGAGTACCTAATAGACACAAGGCATTAGAGAGACACCAATAAATCAGTACGACATGTAGCTCACCAACCCCTGCTCAACATGCCTGAGGCTGTCAAAATAAGATTGGTCAGACCTGGATTTTGTATTCAAGCATTATATCTCCCATGGCCTTCAGTAACCTAAGGCCCGTTCCTGCCTTCCTTATTTTTTGTCTTCTCGTTTAACCCTCATCTCACTCTTCGTCTGCATATTTTGTCGTCCTAATATTCATAAATTTAGACAGAAAAATTAATTCCCTTATAGTCTTTAATTCACATTCCATTCTGAAAATGTATTCGCCTCTAACTTGGCTTGTTTTTACGCTGTACAACTGGATTTTATAATTGTAGAATCTGATGAGAATTTATTGAAAACAACTTTTCTCGTTCAGATTGTCTTTAGTCACTGTTGAAGGAATCTTAAAAGGCATAGAATTCTGACAATGGAAAAGATGACTTTAATTCATCTACATTTCAAGGGAAAAACCGCTAGATGTCTCATGGAAACCTACTTCATAAGGGTGCATATGCGACTTTCAGCTCAGGATATTGGTGTTTACGCCTTAATAGCTGCCCAATCTACAATCAAAGACTCAAGGGCACTAGTGGATGCTAACCTATCATCATGTAGGTATCTGTGTGACTGTTCACAGGTAGCAAGTTACATCCATTATCGGACGTTTTTAAAACTTTCTGGTTTGGTCTAAAAGTTGAAAGGCTTAGAAATCCTATCTTTATCCGTAGTACTACACAAAGGAGGAGTTAGATGGATACCTATCTAGTCTATAATGCGATGATGCATTGTATTTCGAAAGAACTACGCATAGCAATCTGCTTAAATTTTTTATTCACATGTTTGAAGCTATGAATTTAAGATGAATGAAACCAGTTTATGGCTGTCAAAAGCAACATGTTTAGGCCAAATATCGACTGTGAAGTCCAATTAATCGAATACCTTTTTGACCGATTGCTGTGTCAGTAATCCTTAGCTCTTTGCTTATATACTCCGGGAGAAAGTGGATTATCTAATCCTTATAAATCTCACAACACCGAAGAAATATACTTTCTAATAATAACAGTAATAATGACATTCTTAAGATATTTCTGGAATACTCTACAGATTTTTCAGCATGTCATATAGACTTCTCGTACCTGGCATGTTACCATTCAAGCTTAATTCAGTACTCTAGATTAAAAATATTGCTATAGATGAAGAGATTGAATAAAATTGCCCTCAAACGTAATGATTTCACACTCTGTTTGAATGGAATAATAGCCACTAACATTAGTGACGCTACGCGAAGTTTACATGGCGACATGCTGGATACCAGCAGTGGTCATATAGCATCAGTTAGTCAGGAGTAGTGTAGATGTATACACAGAAAAATGAAATAAGTACAAATCACATTAAAAAAGATAAGAATATTCACTCCATCCACAACTTTCTTGAAAATGTATAGTTAATTTAGGTAGACAATAGCATTAGGATTTAGATTCATAGTACACAAATAATAACAAGCTGTGTGATCTTTAATCAATTTGCTTTCAAAAACAGAAGTCGATTAGTTAGTTCTTTTGTACTACTCTCTTCATCGCACAAGACACAAGCTGAATGCGCTATCGTAGTAGTACTTGCATAAAGTCTTGTGTACTCACTCCTTGTCTTTCCTGATGACCGACACGCAGACAGCTTTGAGTGAAGAAGATGCTGGTCATGTGATAAAATAACTCCTGTCAGATCTCTACATGAATTAAGATGTTTGTCCACAACAGCTTCTTTTTATCTAGGAGGTTTGGAGATACAACACTCTTTCTGCTGACAATCTTGAAGGTAATACTGAGTGTAGCATAGCCTTCTTTCAGCCACCCAGGAAATAATAGAGGGGAACAACAGAGTGGAATGGGCATGGTGCAGGATTTTATGAGACAATATGAGAGGCTGGGTTATACCCGATACTCTTAGCTTCCTAATATATTAAGTTAGGTGGAGGATTCTTTTGGAAATTATTAGGGCATGGGAGGACCAGGAAAGGTCCGAAGAAAAACGCACAACGAGATAAGTCACACTTATAACATTCTCTTATGTATAACCATCAATAGAAAAAGTATTCCGAGATCTAAGTAGGTCACATAGGTTATGTTCATGTCTAAAACTAAAGTTGATTAGCTGACATTTTAAAGAATTAAGCACGAGACCAGTGATTGAGGATCATTGTCTAATAGTTTATAGAAAATCGTTCAGTTGGGAACAATCTGTTGAAGAGGAGATAGGTATGGAAAGTGTCAGGTCATCAGGATATTTGAGAAAATTGATACTAGCTGAGGATGTAAGACATAGAAGAAGAATAAAAATAGGACCGAGGGAAAGGACTACACCTTGTTGAACACCAGTCTCAGTAAGCAATGAGGTGGAGCGCTTCCTTCTGTGAAAGGTATATTGCTTCCTCTCAGAGAAATAAGAATGCAGCCAGCTGATTATCCAGGACTTAGTATTTGCCCCTGTTAGCTTGTCCACCAAAAGAGGTCTTGAGGTAGAGTCTGAAACGGTACACCTGATATACTTGATAATTCTATCAAGATAATAGGCAAAATTGTAGCATAAGGCAGTGGTGGCATCCTGAGAACTTCTTTCGCTTTCCTATGCATATTGATAAGGATTCCCAAATACCTTTAGTGAGCGTTCGGGCACAAATATTATTAGCTTCTCCATTATTTTCAGGAACAGAGAAGTGCAACAGAACGGACTTCAGATGTGCACTTGGAATGGCTGACTTTGGTATAGCGACTGTCTTGATATATCTTTCCAGACAGCTGGTATGATGTTTTCTGAAAACAATCTATTAAACATTTCGGTTAATGGAAGGCATAATTCGTGAATATGAAACTTCACATGCTATCCGGATCGAAATTATGTGAGGGGTTCAGGGATTCGAGATATCTGAATTCCCGGCATCATTTTTCATTGAAGACGAGTTGGATTATCAAAGCCTAAATTTTAGCAAACATTTTGAAATATATGTTTAGAAGAGAAATTAAATTATGTTTGGAAGTGAATTCCCAGGAGAACTGTCGTTTGCAATATCTATTTGTGTTACATAGAAAATTAAAGTCGTTTTATAGATTTCTTATTTGTTAGTTGGCTGGTGGAAGTTGGCAGAAAGCCCTGTCAAACCTTGGTTTCGCACTTGCTAGCACTCGTCAGCAGGGCGTATCTGTTACGTTGAGGAAACTGATATCGTGCTTGATATTCGGACCAGCATCACTGAGTAAGGAAACCTAGATCTGTCACGGCTTCCTACCGATTACCTATATACCCACTTCGATGGTGATTCTCTTAGTTTGATGACTTCATTACAAAATGATCTATTGAATTCGATCAGCACTCAGAACTAGAAAACATGCAAATGGTAACTCTTCAGTTGTCAGTGAAGACACTGCATTCATCAGAAATATTAACGTAATTAATCACTAGACCAATTTTCAATGCCAAATACATACACATATAGGTATCATTTTCTAAGACATCATGTAATGTTTATTATTTCAGAATAAACCTGTTTTCAAACTCTTTCAAATCAAACTGAAGTGATCGAGTAAAGTAATTAGAAACATCCGAACACTACTAACCCAATGAAACGTTTGAGCTGGATACGAACAGCAACAGTTCGCTCTCAATAGCTTAGACTTTAACCAGCCATGAAAATATCATAAGATAAGACTGCCCTGTGACTGTAAGAAAGACACTATTCGACAAAATACATTACTTTTATACACCTTTCATAGATATACAAAACCATTAGGTCAAAAGTTAAATAACTTGTTTTCATTCTTCTCTTGTGGGATAAAATTGTCCAATAAGGTCTTTCCTGACCACACAGTAGTATGAAACCGAAATTAAAATAAAAACACTTTTACATTAGTGGGTGATGACTTAAAATGTCGATTTCCATTTATACCACTTCCTATCATAAAAATTTGGAAAAAGGAGTACTTAGTTATTTTGAAATAATGCATAAATCTTTTTTTCAGAACAGACTGACTATCTATCTATGAAAGTTGTATGAAATTTGTCGTATTAACTAGTAAATATACCATCTTAAGGGGAAAACACTTTGTTTACCATAAGCATACCTTGAATATTCTGTTAGTTAAACATTTTCCAAATATCCAAGACCCAAACATATTGTTAGTGTTCAACGTAATACAATCGGGTTAATAATATGACTTCTTCAGGTTATCTGAGGATCAAAATCCTACGATGGAAAAAGTAGTTTCAGTAAGAATTCTAAGCAAGAATAACAAATTTAGAAAGCAGTTTCACAGTCTACATTTTGGTTAGGTATCTATTTCTCTCCTATAAAACTTTTGTTTTCCCTTTTTTTTCAATCTATATTTTAGATGTTGATGAATGTAAAATTGATCCGCATATCTGTGGTAAAGGCATGATTTGTATCAATGTCCGTGGAGGTCATAAATGTGTTGATCACCATTGTCCTGGAAATGCCAAGTAGTTTGACCCTATATGATCTTTAGTTCATGTTCAGAACTTTGAAAAGATGCTATAGCGTCTTGTTTTCCTCTTGAGTATATCTAATGAACAGATTTATTTTGATTATAAAATGTATTGTATCTCTTTCATTTCAAATATCAGTGTTACTGTCATTTAACAGGGGGAATTCTAGGTAGTCTAAATTATACACACGAAATAGCAGTTATTTCAAGCCAAAATGGAAGATATCCAGGGTAGGTTTTCGTATCAGCTTCAAGGATGGTTGTAAAGCATTTCAGTGATGAGGTGAACTTTATAAGGAATATGAATTTCGGGGGATACATTTTATTCTGAACAGCTTAGGTTACCGTCTTGCATAGTGTACTCAAGATGAAGAGTTTGTTGCTACTCTACTCAGACCTTTAAAATCTCTTGGTAATACGAAAGTTTACAGATGATAACTGGATTGTTGAAACAGAGTTTTGTAATACCTATTACATTGAGATAAACGCCTACCTCAATATACTATAAGGTCAAATTTCATAAGTTGCCAATGAATCACATTGCGTAAAGCGCATAAATCAACGACATCGAATCAGCTGTATTGAAATATCTTAAGACTTACTACGAAAGGAAGCAACCGTCTCAGCTAGCACAAAGTATGATCCATTTCAACTCTAGGGATACACATGATTTGACACACTATCAAACCCACGACATAGGACAGTGTACGAAACATTGTACGCATGATATTTACTTTCATGCCCTGATAACTGTCCGGTTTTTGACTGAAGACTCAAGAACACTCTACTGGATATTAGGTCATCATCATGCAAATACTAGTGTGACTGCTGACAAAGAAAAGATTATGTCTATCGGTGTTTGATACTTGTGGTTTCTGGTTGCTACACAGGGTAGAATTGCTCAACCCCTGTTGACAAACGGGCTGCCATGCTTCGATTGCCTGGTGGACCACACTTTAGCTTTTGAAGCAGTGGTTACTGGGTTCAAGTCTCAAGGGGACAAAACCACTCACTGGGACCCATGTAAATCCAGGTGACGAGTCCCAAATAGGACAAAACTCATATCCTGGATTCCACGTCTGGTGACAAAGATGAATGCAAGGTGATATCCATCTTTAGATTCGAGAACTTTTGTTCGTTCGTTTCAGAAGGATTGAAGTTAAATTACTCAGAAATCCTTTATTAGCATACTATTACTGCAGAAATCGCACCACATTGACATCTGTCTAGTCTCTGATGTGACAGATTGTAATCTGAAGGGACTACTGATCACCATCTACAAAGCTATGGATATAAGATAGAGTGAACCAGAATATGTTTAGGCTTTATCTCAACCTACTGTTTGATCAACTGATTTTCGCTTCACCACCAAGCAGATTCACAGGGTTGGGGTCAGTCAGTTGAATGACTGAAAAGACGTAGAGAAGATGAACACGTTTGTTTACACTTTCTTTAATACTCAAGACAGTCAGCCCACCTATTCATATAGTGTAATTTAATTCTATTATACTTACCAGTTAGAATATATTCTACTGGCAGCATTACCGACTATGTCACTTACTCCTTTGTTGTACCTAGTAACAAGTGAGAGGTTAAATGAAAGGGAAACAGAGGATTTAATGTTTTTAGTTTGAGGTTGTTAGGGATCTTATTTTTAGGGTGATATTTTTCATGGACTGATGTCAGTCGGAGAACCACTGAAAACCTGGTAGCACTGGACAGCTGTTTCATCCTAGCACGGGACTCCTCAGGAGTTGACCCCCACGACCCAGCCAGTGATCGAGACCAGGACCTTCAGGTGTCACGGCAAACGCATTAACAACTCAGCCACTATGTCAGAGTTTCATGGCCCCCAGTTTCCTACTTCTGTCAATGCACGACATAGTGTAACTAACGACCAAGGAATTTAGTTGATATCCACTTCACTTCTGACTTGGATGACCCACTGGTAACGGCTTCTCGTTAGGAATTCAGGATATCCATCTCGAAGTATATCACTAGAAGGAAACAGCTATCCAGCACTCCCAGCTTTTCGATGGTTCTTCTGTCCGTTATGGATACCACTGTAAGAATTTACTGTATGTTGACCGTGTTAGATGTTTGTATTGCGAAAGCAGATCAAAATATGACTGCTTGAAGCAACAATAATCAGTCAGTGAGAAGATACTTCTCAACGACAGAGTTATTGTTTATATATCCCATTAAATCTCGTTTAGCCGATCGAGAAATGAATATTTTGAATATCTAATTGAATTTACGTTAAAATTCTTTTTTGTTGTCAATTTACTTATTGAATTAATTGTTTCCTTTTAAATCTTGCCATTCAAAAAAAAGACGGAATAAAGTTGGTGACTGTGTTCCATGTCCTTCAGGCTATGTGTACAATGTTTCAAGTGGATTATGTGACGGTATGTTTTCAAATCATATTACAAATGACTTCTTCCTTTTCTTCCTGTGTATGTCTGGGAATTTTGAACTTTGATAGATTTAATGAAAGTAAAGATTTAATGTTCAACTGTGCACAACTAACAGGTGTTAACTTTTGGCCATAAAATGAAAAGTTGTAACGTTCAAAAAAGTACTAGTACCTGATGTTGAATGATTTAAAGTCATGCTTGTCAAAAAAGACTGAAGAATTTGAGTTTCAGAGCGAAATCAAATAGACTGGCTTTGTTATTATGAGAAGAGCGAATAATAATAGTCGTAATGAATTATCTTTACTTTTATGGTTATTGGACGAAAAGGAGCCAGTCTATCAAGTGTTCAGGACTAATAAAGGTCCATCGATCAAGGGACTGATACTAGAATTTAGAAGACTGTACGATGAAGTAGAGAAACAATTGTGTGCTAAATTATCTGTGTATCATTCAGAAATGACTTGAATATGTGCTTGATTGTTACGCTTAGTATCAAACATGGCCTTCTGTGATCTAATTTACTGTTAGAATTTAGCCATTCACGCCTTCTAAATCAAGTCGGTGTAAATTTGAAGGGTAGTACATAAAGTTGTGACTGAATTTAAGTCAATCCAAGTCAGATCTTTATGTTTACCTATGAGTGATAAGTCAACAAAATTTTAACAATTCGTAATATTTTATTGATGTATAGTGACTATCGGTAGAATCTGGAACGCACGTTTCGTCCTATTTGAGACTTCTCAGCTGAATTTACGTGCCTTCCAGTGAGTGATGTTTTTCCCACTGGGACCACAACAACAACAATATCTGCAATATTTGTTCGACAATAAAGATAGTCTTCCTTGAGGTTAAACTACTCAGCCTAACTGGTTAATAAACTTCAAACAACATCAAGAATTAAGAGCGGAATGGATTGACCCACATAGGTCAAACACCAGGTTCTTATTCATAGCTCTTCCAGTGCTGGAAAAGTCTCTGCCTTTCTGTTGTGTGACGTGCTCGTGATTAGCCCAATATATATTCGTATAAGCGGCGAACACTAAACTTTTCCCTTAACTGAAAAGACGTATTTAGAGTAGTTCTGATCACCTACCAAGTAACTTCACTGTGTTTCTAACTCGATCTCCTGGAGTAATTTGACCTCTTTCTTAGGTGGACTGACATTTATGCATTTCTATTTTTCCCCTTTCCAAATCAGTTAAACCACGCCACACCTCAGAGTTACGACGTATGTGTCTTTTCATGTTAGAAGTAGCTACCAGACCCTTGACCACCACTTGTAATTCAGTTTTGTCCTCTCCACTTCACTTGATTTCTAACTTTGAACGGTCTCCAGTCCTTACATACTTTTCTCTGTGACTTCACAGCATCTGCTTTTTGCGTATCTTCTGCATTCCTGATAGCTCATCATTCCTTGTCTCTGTAGCTTCGGCAAGCTATTATTGTGTATTAGTAGTCATGCTTGTCAACCATACACCAGCTGGAAGGGTGATTGCTTAGTATCTCCTTGTATGGAGCTGGAATTTAGCGGAAAACTAATGGCAGCTTTCCTTCCCAGTTTCCTCCCTTCAAGGTCAACCATCCTTTCAGTATACAATTGTTTCTTTACGCAAAACCATTCATCTGTGTAAATTACAGAGTAATCCGCATCTTCTTGATATGTGATTTAAGTTCGTCACTCTTAAAACAGGAATCCTGGCCTGTCAGTCTCATATTCGGTACTCCGTGGTCTGTCACAATATACTGGATTACCGCCTTACTCATCCGTTGAAATTGGAGGCAGAACAGCACAAAGATTGCCATATCATCTCTCATACCTGATTAGTCTGAAATTCATAACTGGACTTCGATCATTGTGTCTATGTCTGTATGTACTAGTCGGTGGTATTCACGAATGATCGTGTGAAGTAGGCATTTTAACGTTGCTGCTATCCAGCTCCAACCATTATCCTACCAGGTTACGGCCCCATATACAATCAGCCATGATCTGTTTCTCAAATTGTGGCAGTTGTGGTGTCTTCTATCGGTTATATAACAGTTCCTTTATTTGATTGAGAGTTCTCTACACTAACTGTTTACGTATACTCTATATTACATAACAGTCTATATTTGGACATTGCTATCTCGTCAAGGCTTTTGACGTACTGGATGTAGAATGTTGCTCTCCCCAAAACAGTCTTAATTTTTTCAGAATTTTCTGGAGTGGTGAAATATAAGATGATGTAACAGTGTGATATAGCTTTTGGCTATCTGCGACTTAATTTTGTTAATCCGTAGTCCGAAAGTTTTAATCCACTTTAGGACGGCTTTCACATGTTCTACATATAACGTTTTCGTGCGACCATGTACCACCGGATAGTTCCTATGCGCCTGAACACGTTTCAGCTTCTTGAGTGATAATGCCAGTTTTCTTCTACACATAAATAGTGCACTTGTCAATTTTACTGACTTTTGTTTAAGCCGATATCGTTTCTGATCCACGATAGATGCTGTTTCGCCACGATTACTATCAATTATTGGTAAATTCCAGTAGTCTTACTGTAAGTCCAACACTGCAAACTGTTTCGAGTTCTGTAGATGATCTAGTGTTTATGCCGCTGTTAGAATATGAGATACATACGGAATATGTACTCTCCTATGAACTTTGTCACTACGGGAACTAGTGAGCTCCATGGACTGTCAACTTCATTCATCTTCTTATTCAGTATCTCTCTAACTATCAGTCAACTTCAGCTCCTAAATGCAAAGGAATTCGGTGGGTTCTGCAGTTTGCTTCATCAAAAAAGCCATAGAATTTCCTACTTACAGTTAATAGCTTCCCATATTTAGTGAGCAACTCGCTGATATTTGATCTTTTAGTTACGGTTGCACTTCCGCTACTTCGCTACTTTCGTCTATCCAGAATGCAGTATACTTTGTGGTCACCCTTCGACTTCTCATATCGACTGTCTTCCCCACCTCTATCAAAAAATCAGTTGCCCCTATTGATCACTGTAATCAAAAAGTTAAAATAAACAGGAAACGCACATCGCAAGCACCTACCGAGGCTATACAGTTTGAAGCCGCCTTCTTGCAGTTTGAACCCCTAACATATATGGTATGGAGTTCTGACAGTAGTCTTTGTCTTTTGGTGAACTTGATGTCTATGTGTGTGAACTGGACATACTAATTGTGATCCATTTATGCCTAGTCTCACATAAATCTCTCTTATATTTCTTGCCAAAAAAAATCTCGATTTAATTCAAAAGGAAGAAGGCATGTTATGCTGTTTAAAGTACTCACCCCATCGTTGCCCTGAGCAAATTTTTCGTCGATGCTTTACTTTCCTATAGATAAAGTTTTCATCATTCTTGTAAGCTTCTGTGCTGATAGATATCACCTGACGCCATAATTTTTTCACATGCTTTGTGATAATGTTGATTTTTCGATCCTCATTTATCACGAGCATCAAAATCTGACTCGGCAGCTGTTTGGCGAATTTTACTAGTTTGCTGTCATCTATCGATTGTGCGACACTTAGTAACTGTAGCAGTTGTGCGATGACTGTAAGCAAATATTCGATGAACGCTGAGAGCAAGAATTATACGTGAGGTACTCTATCCAGGGTAGGCAATATTTGATATAGCAGACTTTTCGACGTTACTATCACTATCAATAAGTTACTATCTAACCTGACCTTAGTACCCCTGAATCTCTGGGGAGCTTTCTGGGCTGTCAAAAGCCCCTTACAACCGGCCCATGACAAATTTCTATGGCGTCATCCACTTGACAAAACGTTTAAGTGATATACTACTAACAAGTGAAATTTTGATGTGTCAGTAAACAAATACTATCTTGACTATTTTAGCTAAAAGGAAACTCAACAACTGCCTTTCGTTTAGTTCTAGTGAGTTTGTTTCAGAAAGGTTAATCTATACCCACAAACAGTCTTTATTACTGGGAGCCGAGTGTTTCTCACTCACACAATAGTTGAGTGCAGTATCCAGAGATTTGTATCCGGGTGACATTCAGTCCATATAATTCGACTTTTAGTAAAACAAGACGATAATCTGTGAATTCTTTAGTAGGATGAAACAATGGTTCTTAATTGAGTATGAAAGTATTACTAGATGTAAAACACATGTGAAGTACATCAAGAAACAATAACTTCAAGCTAAGGGTTGTTCAGTGAATTGCTGGATGAGTGGCATAGAAACCGCCTTTATCAAACTTCTCACTATCTTGGTTTCCCCTCAGCCTTGACTATCAAACACTGATTCATTTATTTACTGCAATGTAAAGATAAAAATGACTATGTCTACTGTTTTGACCAATTAAATCTCTAAAGATCAGATTCAAACCTGTTATTGAAAGTTGAACATGGATGAGATTCCTCATAAGTCAGTGGCTAGACGGTAATCCATGTGAGTGTGAAGTCTTTGATGCTAAACACTGATTATTTATTCAATTAAACTCATAAGAGATCAGTTTTACCAAAGTTATAGATACGCTTTGCTGACAAGTGCCAGCACGCATGAAACCCAGGAGAAACAGGGCGTCCTGGAGATTGCCTCCAAAAAACTAACGACGAATAATATAATTAAGATGAACAATGGTATTACAAACCAATCAATTCTGATAAACCTCCTAATCAAATTACCATTCAAATCACATGAGAAGTCATGACCTGTGATGTCGAACAAATCGGGTATGAGGACAGATGGCGACGGCATTAGATAATGGTTACGTTATGTCGTGATTTAACGGAATGAGAGAGAAATGTGTACACTTGAGTTGTGATGCAGATACTCTCAGCGAGATTTCAAGGTTCGCCTTCTGGCGAAATTATAGGTCAACACTGCTCGGCACTTGCGAACTAGGAATAAAAAGTTGTTCAGGAAGAATTCTTAGATTCTTAGTTGTTCTTCAGTTGATGTCAGTCCATACTGAATACAACCAAGAAATTAATAAATGTGCCAATGAAGCTTATTAAAGTTGTCCAAGTAAGGCAGTACAATAAGCTTCATTGACCCATTTGTTGAAATCGCTCACCTAAATTATTCTGATCTCTGTTCTTTTTGACAATTTAAATGAATGATTAAAAATGTCATCTTTGGTGTCAGACTTGAATATTATCCTGAAAGCTTAATACCAACTTCATACTCTTGGAAAGAGTTTTCCTAACAGGACCGAAACTATGAGGAATAATACGAAATGTTTGTTTGTTTTGCTGTTTTTTCTAATATGCTACATCGTGATTACACAAGTAAAATACACCTTACATAACGAATCACATTAACTCGTCACCCAAACAGCCCAGTCCTTCAGTGATCTGGATATACCTACACTTACTGGCGTTCACCTTAGAACAGAAACACTTCCTTATCAAAGTTTATGCTACATACACTGTCCATATAGTAGATCTATGTAATTACCTGCCTGCATTTACACACATTCTTGCTAAAATTTCCAATCATGCTTTCATAGTACAGTCAGTTTTCGGGAAATCATTTCATCTTTCATTTTCTGTTGCAACTGAAAGTAGGTGGAAACACATTGGTAGTTTAATGGGTTTAATTATTTTATCATAACATACGAAAAGATGGTAAATAAAAATGCAACAAGTATACACCATATCAGGGATAATAACAACACTAAATGTCTTAATGCTAGCAATTTATGCCTAACTGAAAATTAGTACTATTGTACATATTATCATGTATTTTCAATGTAATAAAAAACAACTTATGAAGGTCAAAGCTGGTAAGGCAGTTCACATAAATGAATTCAAGTTGGCTATCCAGAATTTTCTTAGCATTACTAAGTCATATAATGCAGTCTTCATGATTGAAGTAAAATGTCACTCTTTTTACGCTAGATACAAATTTACGATCAAACTGAATGTTGTCCACTTTCGTGAGTGTCTAAGTATATTACTCTCAATTAAATAATCAGAACATCAAATCTTGTATATTAATGCCCTACTGAAACTGTTCTATACTACTCAACCCGTGAACATATCAGTAATCTGATTACTTTAAAAATTATGTGGTATATGTCTACCGATAGACGCGGGATGATGTTTTTCATAAATGATCAAGTTGATAGTGTTGTGTTTATCTTGAACCTATGCCAATACTTTTAAAAAAATCGTAGTCGCGTAACCAATTATTCTTAGGGTTCATCTATCCTCTGCTAACCTTTCTCAGTCATTTTTTTTAAAATTACAGTGATGATTGTTTGACACTTCAAGAGCTATTCTGCTTAAAATGTAGTAAATAAAGGCCATGTGATAATCATTATTCGTGGATATTTGTAGTTAACGCTTGTTGTTTTACTGGATCAAGTTTACCGACTTCTGTGAGCAAATAGGTCCCTATTCAGATGCCTGGACATTTCTTGATTCTTCTTTACGCTGTGATGGAGTGAAATGAGCATCCTAAATCCCACTGCTAGCTGTGATGATTGCAGCGTTTCATTCTGGGTTCAAGTCTTGCTGGGGTGCGGGTACATCCAGCTAACTAGTCTTATGTAGAGTGAAGCGCACGTCCTGGATTAGGTCGGGTTTAAGGAACGTTAAGGGTAGTCAGACAAAGTTGTGACAATAGTTTATGAAGTCTCGAGATATCTTTCTGAACAGTTTATGAAGGTGTAGACTACCTGGCTGAGGTTACCAACGTAATAGGAATTAATGATAAATTACTGTTGATGACATGGCAAGAAATCGGTTATGATGGAACAGAAGCAGTCACTGTTTGACGTATTCTAAAGTTTTGAACATCTTGTTATTCTCCATCTGTTCATTCCGTCTCCTCCTATGTATTTATAGTTCTTAATGGCACTCCTTCTATTCAATTCTAACTTATATGCTGCTGTGATTTATGGCAACAAGAATTGATGCTTTTCTCTGTCAGTTCCTACACAAATCTTTCTATGTATACATCCGGAAAAGCTCTAGTAAGCAGAAAAATAATTTTCACCACTGTCATCATCAGTTAAAACGCAATATACAGCAATATACAAATAAAAATCTCAGGACATTCAGAGATAGAATCAAATGAAATATCGGCCAAATGCTCTAGGCTTAGTAGAAATAAGTTAAATTTGTGCTTCAAGAGCATCAGCGGGTATTTTAATGGAATATATTGTAGTATCTTGGGTTTTTGACTTCTTCTGCTACCAATATAGATATTAACAATAAAGTTAGGATCATTCTTGAGTTTGGGTTTGTTTCATTCTAAGTTATTGCATTTTACTAGTCAGTTAAGGGAGAAAACGAGTGTGACATAAAATCCTGATTTTGCCACATACATTACCTGCTAGACCCACCTAGTTGTAACATATTTGTCAGATGAAATTCGATGCTTAAAGTAAGATAAAACTGACAACTTTCATTCATTTTGCCTTCCTCGACCACTTATCGGAAATGAAGGTAGGAATCTTAGGTTAACGAGGAATCAGGTTGCCGATATCAGTCAACTCTAACAATTATTCCACCCTTCATAAATAAAGAGTCTTCTCTGTTAGCATCAAGGAGCATTCACCTAGCTTCGTTTCATTTTCCCATGAAATGTTCAGTTATCAGGTGCGTATAGTTATCCATTAACTGAGGTTAACAATCTACGGAAAGTGAAATAGAATACAACGGCTTAAAAAGTAATCTCCCAAGCATGAAATTAAAGAGTCCTCAGTATGATATTGATAATGCTTGAAATTTCTAAATTAGTAATCTTCACTCTAATATCATTTTAATGAGAATTATCATTTAACCTAATTATTTTTGTTTAAATATTTACTCCGCAAAATATTGAACATTTAATTTCACCTAAAAATGTCTTTGAAAATTTTGTTCACAATGAGTCATTTACATTCAAGTCAATAAGGAATAATTTTGTTCATTGAAAAATATTATTTTCAATGGAAATAATGAGAATATTTCAAATGTTTAATGTAAAATATTTTCAATAATCTAATTTTATAGATATTGATGAATGTCAACAGCCGAATAAATGTAGATCATGGGAGAAGTGTGTTAATGAACGTGGTTTCTTTTTATGTGAAGCAAAAATTAACTGTGTTCATGGCACAAGAATTAATGAAGCTGGGACTGAATGTGTAGGTAAGTTAGGCAATATATTGTATTTTCTTATTACATTTATCACTTGTAATAAGTGACTTCTTTTTGGGTAGCAATGGAATACTGGACTCGCGATTTGTCTTATCGGGACTCATCAGCTGAATGTGCCTGCCCGCCAGTGAGTGGTGTTGTTCCAAATAAGACTCGAACCTTATGCCTACCGCTCTAAACGCCAAAGTATTATCCACTTAGCTAGTGAAGCATGATATCCGCCTCTCGTACTATGATTATTAATTGTGTTTATTTGTTGGTGGTACTTGTAATTCCCCGTTGTTTTTCGACTGTATGAAGTTGATCGACGTCTTTTGGCAGATGCGCTGCTATGCAGACGTCTCGGTATTGCCTGAATATTTATTGTTATAAATGACTTGATTGTAGCCTGCAGTGGAATCTAGGACGTGCTTTTCGTTCTATTTAAGGCTCAGTTGTAGACTGAGTGTACCTGTATGCTGGTGAGCGATGTTTTTCCCACTAGTCGATCGATTCAATTCAGTATAACAACATAGATCTACAAGAACTAATGAAAAATAATTTATCATTTGTCGCAAATTAGTTTTTTCAGAGAATGACATCATTTGGATGACCTTTGGAAGTTATGAGACACTGAAAAACTGTCTCACCGCTGTCTGGAACTCCTCAGTCGGGAACACCTATGAGTTTTTGATGAGATGAAACCAGGACCGTCAAGTTCCGTGGCGAGCATCTTACCATTCAGACATCCGACTTAAACTTAATAACACATTTTCCAACTTCCGTTAGTTTTCTGTACAGTACCACCAACATACAGTGTCATCAGCCAGTATTCGTCCTTATTCCTGACTTGTTTGACACCATAGGTCAAGGATACTCATTGAAACTTCGGAAAATTCATCTGTCAGCAGGCTACTAATCACCACTGGATAGTCATTCAATTAGTTGTTTTAATAACACTGATAAATTTCAAGGTAGTTAGATGGTGTGTTTTCAGTCATTTCCAAGACGCTCTGTATGCTTCATAAAACTGCTTTGAAATTAAACAGTCCTCTAAATCTACTGATAAATTCTTGATATAATTAGAGCTCCTTTCATACATTTATCTGCAACGGGACCGATGAATTTTAAAGTGTTTTCTTCCAGTCAAACCAGATTTCTGAAAAATGCTCAGTTTAGAGTGGGGACAAAACACTTAGCAGAATGAGAAACATTGGAAACCTGGGGACATTGGACAGTTATTTCATTCTATTATAGGGCTCCTTAGCACTGCGAACCTGTTGCCCTGCCACAGCTCGAACCCCGGGCACTTGGGTTCCATAGCCAGCAAGTTACCACTGAGCCGCTGGGTTTGAATCCAGTGGTTCATATTTCTTACTTCTGTCAATTCAAGATATAGCACGACCTCCATGCAATGCCGTCGTTGAGTAGCTTTCCTTGTGTTTAAGTTGGTTGGACCCACTGGTCATGACTTCCCATTTGAACTTCAGAAACTACCTCTCAAAGCTAGTCACCAATGAGCACTAGATTGGCTCAGTTTAGAGATTAGTGTGGATTTGTTGATTTCAAGTTGGGTTTGATCCCTGGTTGGGTCATCGGTATGCATTACTGAGGATTCCCATGTTTGGATGAAACAACCGTTCAGGGCTCCCAGGTTTCCAGTGTTTTTCTTAATAGTGTCAGTCAATGATGAATACCAATCTGAAGTCAGCAAATCCCCCACAAACCTCGTAAATGGTTTAACAGTAACCCCACTGTCAGATTTTATCACAGTCTATATATTTGATTGTCCACCTACTTATTTCATGGGTACCACAGACTGGCTTGCATATACCTAGTTCGACTACAGTTGTTCCTAGTCATCTCATGTAGCCAGGCGGATTTAGGGTGGTTTGAACATTTTTGTCTACCGACCAATGGGATCCATCTTCTTATGCTTACTTCATCGAGATTTCTCTAAAGAGCACAACTTATTGTTGCCTGTTCCACGAATGCTTGGGTCAATCAGAAATGTACGTAGGGTAACTTTTAGTGATGCTGCTAGAGAAAACGCACTCTATTTTGGTTATCAACTTGAGAAACGGACGTCTGTATGTGCAGGGACTAGTAAAAGAACAGTTTCTCAGGGCTAGAAAACTTGATTCATCAAAAACTGATTGGAAAAAGTGTTTACCTTCAGAAATGTAGATAAAAAAGAAAATTAAAAACAACAGAACTGACTAACCTCAATAACCCCGAAGAGCCTATTTTTCTGTGTCTAACTTCCAAGGAGGATAACTTAACGGACAGAGTTAATAAAAAATCACTTTCTTCCTAACCACGTTGATCTGTCCAAGACAAACAGAATTTCTACTTCAACAACCAAAGTTGAAGGGTATTAGGCCCATGCCAAATAATATTTTATTCATCAATCCTCGTTGTACACCATAGCACGTAAATTAGAAGAATAGGGAAAGGGTTTGACACTTAGTTTCGTGAACATCTAAATATGTTCTGCATAATATGGCTAGGTAGCCTTAAAACCTTCATTATCAGAGATTTTATGGATAAAGGACACAAAGTCCATATCTTGAGTATATGTAAAATAATCAACAAACGAAACAATGCTAACTTACTTAGATTCATAGAAGCAATTGCTAGCAAAGTAACTTTACGAAACTTGTGTATCCAAAACGAGAAGGGTGCTAGCCTCCAACTTTCAATTTATAATTTTCAGTAAGAGGAACTCTTTCAATTCTCATATTTCATATGCTTTCCTTCTCATCTTACACCCGATTTTACAGTCAGTTCCTCCATTATCTCCACAATTCTACCGTCAGACTCAAACTGATTTCACCTCAATCCATATTCAATTTCTAGTCATTTGTACACATTGACCTCGGTCTACTACACTTAAATGACAAATCTAAACGATGTAGTATAGTATCCCAGTGGTATTGATGCTGGCTACAACACTGTAAGGCACGCGTTCAAGTCCGCTGGGCAACATCAACTAACTCGATATCATAGAAAAGCCATACTGATTAGTGTAATCTAACGGGAGACCTAAGACAGCTAGCTGTTTTATTTCATTTCCGGATTTGTCAGTCAAGTGTGGTAGAATGACACCCTGAATATAGGAAAATTAAATAACTGTGATTCTAATGGATAATTCACTTTGCTCGGTACTCCTTAATTTGTGTTATTTCTCTTACTATTGTTCATCAGTGTACTCACCATCTTCTTCTATATACCCGTGACATATGGACTGGATATGTCTGTATCATGTATTCTGTAGTTTTTATAGTCTACGTGCTGTTGAACAGAAAGCAAGGAAGTGTCACGCATTCATCTTTTTTTTCACAATTTGTTATTCTTTCGCTATTGAAGCTTTTCAGTAGGTTTACAAAGCCCACTTTATCGTTAATTGAGTATCCTTTAGTTTGTAAAGGATAATAATCTGCACTCTGCATATTAAAACATATCGTAATGGAATGGTATTCGTTCTCATTTAATCAGTTGCGTGTAATGCCAGAGAGATGACAAGTTTAGTTTGAAAATGTTACTCAGACGTATTGATGGTGCGTTATTTTATCAGAGGCAGTCGATAGGAAGCCCTGACAGATCTAATTTTGCAGCTTGTTACCACTAGTCATCAAGGAGTATCTGAGATTCGACCCCTTGCTACCTAGTAGTGCACGTAGTGATTCCGGCAATAAAAAGCTCAGGATTAACAACACTAAATCAAAACACTCAGGGACATGGTTTCGAATCTCAAGTCCCTTAAAGTTCACAGTTTGGGAGGTGTATTCTTTCTACTGTGGGAAAGAAATTTCTGAAATATTTAACTTTTTATTTATCGGTTCACACTAATAGTAAGTAGACACTATATTAAATATCATTGGGAAACTAGTCAATTTCTAATTAACTACTAATATATTATTCCAGACGCAGCTCTAATTCTAGGATTGATATCATCTGAGGGGTATTTGATATTGCTGCGTGATTTTTAGATATAGACGAGTGCTTGGAGAAGAGCTACCACTGCGACGATGGAAAGATATGTGTTAACACTCAAGGCTCATACTATTGCACAGAGTCGAAGTGTACAGCATCCCAAATGTAAGTTACTTTGTTATGTTTAGAAATTAAATTCGAATAAATATTTTAAGTTATCAGAACTAATGTAATAACTCAAATGTACCTTACATCATGAAGTGAAGTAATTTAAAGCATTAGCAAACCAAACGACTCTGGCAAATGTTACGTTTCAGCTTAGAACTGTTGATTGCCAGTCAGCAAAGCATGTTTTAGATGCTTTTACATTTTCTTGATGTCATTTTAAGTAATTTATTAGCCCTAAAATAAAACGTTGTTAGGTGTCCCCAGTTATTCTTTTGTCAATAGTAAAGAATTCTGAAAAAAATTATTTGTTAAGTGGTAATTTGAATCAGCTGAAAGATAACTAATCTGGAGGTCCGTGGGGATTTATTTATAGATTTCAGGTTTGCATTCATTACATAATGACATCAATAGGAGAACCAGTGAGAACCTAGCAGCTGTATCGCCAACTAGTAAGTAAGAAGTAAGAAAAAACATATTGACCATTGGATTCCGACTTGCTGGTCACGGAACCTGGAAGTCCTAGGTTAGGATCCTGATGGGATCATGGCTACGCACCTGCCGAGGAGTTTCATACACTGAGATAAGACATTTGTTCAATACTTCCAGGTTTTCAATATTTCTCTAACGCATATCAATCGTAAATCTTCACTAAAATCACTCAATTCCCGCGAGTAATCATCATTTTAACTACTCACAAGTAATCAAACTAATACTAAAATATTTTTTTTTATCATAATTAAAACTGTTCAGCTATGATTATCATGAAAGGAAATGTACTTGTGAAAAAGGATATCATGGTCAAGGAGATGAATGTCTTGGTAAGTATACCTGGATCGCAATTAGTTTTATGCATGTCATAAGATAATATCCTTAAAAGTATTTCAAGATGTGTATTTTGTACATTTAATCAGATCTACTAAACAGCTGATACATGTCTTTGATACAAAATCCTTTTCCACTCATTTTGAATACAAACATAGAGTTGTACACCAATTGGATTTGTATTTGCTAGGTATGATTTATGATTAGTTAGTGTGAAATGACTAGCTGTTAGTGAGTTTTGGTGCAGTTTATCGGTACGTTGAAGAATGGGCGTAAGTTTAACAGTGACACCTCATTCAACCAGCATAAAAACCTGGAAGGGAAAAAAAGACCAAAAAACATGAATCAAGGACTCAACAACCACAAAGAATACACCTACGTTTAAGGGATAACTGATCAAAGGCAACAGTTCAGAACCAGAAGATCAAGTAGTCTGACAGTCCAAGCTAGGTAGTAGATGACTAGGCTATCAAAAGCGTTAGAACTGAGTACCTCCAACAAATCCTGAATAAATTAACGGACAGCCAACAACAAGTGGATGTCATATGGCATAAACTGTTTACACTGAATTACCAGACAAGATCTATACAGTTTGAGATTTGGTAGTGGGAGGTTAGCTGCAACAAATCGATTACGATGATCTTTGTAAAAAGGCAAAGTATTCAAATTGATATGAGAGTTGTTGTCTGATTTCGCTAACAGTTAAGTGTCTTGATATATATCTCTACTTAGCTGAAAAACAAATTTTTCTCTGGCTAACTTAACAAAATCATTACTGTTAGATAACATACCGATTTTATATCTTGTGAATATTTTCTGAAAGTCAATAAGTGCAGTTCATGCGCTTTATACTAACCAAGTAGTACTCATTCTTTCGTATTCATTGGTTAGGTTCAGAGATCTCGTCACATCATTTCAATCCTAATAAACCACTGGCACAGCACTAATTTCCCACATTACAGACATCTTACTTGCTTTCGGGATTAATGACGTTCTGTGTCATTATGTTTTATATCCGCAGTTAGAAAGTTCATAAAACCTTGTTATCACTTGTTATATTCTTATAGTGACTACTTGATATGACCTAAGTCATATATATATGCAGATACTTAAAAAATAACCTTCAGATTCAACCCCTAATGGTCGCTTGTTTTCTCTGTAAACTGAAAAGGTGGCAACAAAACGAAGGTTTGCTGCAACTTTAAGGACAAATGCAAAATACAAGGGTTTATATATATTAACATTGGCCTTGGCTATTTCCAGGCCTTTCTGAATCTGAATGTCCCATTAGTTTTCGTCCCTTCGAGCAGTCTGATATTTACACATTGGTTCATGCAATTTCTCTCGAAGCTTCGGTGTAACATGATTGGTTGTAAAAAGCTTCAGAGACTTATGGCTTTTTATGAAGATTTTAGCAACCTTGCTGCACTCCATAATATTATGCTGCCCCAATTATGAGTTGGTCACTTTTAGACTGATTATAATATAACACGGTAATCAAATATTTTTCTTCGGAAGTTTGTAGCGATTAGCTCCCTTGTATGAACTTCAACAAAACAATAAGAAAACGTAATTTGTCTGAGTCGTGTAGTGTTTTTGTGCAACACATTTCGAACAGTATGATCACACATACGCCTGTCATAAACGGTGAGGATATCCAAAGCAGTCAAATGGGAAGGTGAAGTTCAAGGCCAAAATAACAATGAAAATCAATAGACCAAAGACAATAGTATGTCAACCTTACTTTCAAAGCCGAGTTCACCAGGGAAGGTTTAGTGTGATAATAAATTGTTTTAGAACTCATAAAGGTAGCGAAAACATTCTAATAGTTTAGGTCTCGACAGATTTGAGGATATATCCCTGACAAGTTTTTTAACAGGCCTGAGAGATAGTATAATTGCTCGTATTATACCGTCGTTGATTAGATCGAATCGATCTGTCTCTGTTGGCATATGGGCTTCTGTGCGGATGCCTCGATGTTACTTGCGTTCCCACTATAGTGATGATGGATAGTGGCTAGCAGTGGAATTCAGGGTGCTCATTTCGTCCTATTCGGGACTCGCCAGCTGGATGTATCTGGCTTCCAGCGAGTGATAATGTTCCCAACGGAATTCGGGCTCGGGGGCGATCGCTTTAAACTTCAATATAGACCGATCAATTCGGCCCAACCAGCGAGGGTATAATACAAGCAATTATACTGAAACTATACTCGTCGAACAATGAGTGGCTATCGTGACTCGGTAGTGCAGTGGATAACCCTCTGGCATTTGAAGCGATCACTCCCGAGTGGGAACAACACTCACTGGGAAGCAGGCACACCCAGCTGACGGGTCCCAAATAGGACGAAATGCGCATCCTGGATTCCATTGTTAGCCACTATCCATCACACCTAGGCATCGTGATATTCTTCACGATCTTTAAGCTTGGATGTCTGTCCCCAGCATTTATATAATCTGTGTTATGACTTTGTCGGATTGTAATTGTCAGATTCAAGTGGTCTTACCGATTAAGTCTTAACGCTGACTTTGTTTTCGATTAGTCTCGAGCATCATTCTTGCCCGGTCTCATATACTCAGTCACTCAACATGCAATTATTTCTGAACTCTAAGTCATACATAAACGGATGAGGAGTCAATCAAAAGCTATGCGGTAATCTTACCACTTAAGTCACAAGTAAACTGACTTTTGAAATCAACAGAATGATACGATCAATGACACTTATGCGAGATTCATGCTTCCCACCTTTCGGCTGATATAACTGTTAGATGGCTCCACCTACTTTCCTACCTAAGCTAGTTATAAGCTTAATTTATTCTTTATTCGATTTCTGTAAAATTTCTCTCAGTTATCAAACTTGTACCTCTGATGATTGCTTCCTTCGAAGCGTATTTTAATGTATAAATTTCAGTTTAACGTTCTGTCACTCTAACGAAGTCTAATAATAACGCACTGTTCAGTCGAAAAGGCCGCCATTTTTTGACCCAGTAATACCGATGACACTATGCTTACTTACGTAATCGATGTTTATTACCGTTTGGTTTCAAATACAAGTTTCTAAAATAAACACAAATCGCGGTTTCGTCATTTCTGATTACCACCTCACATTACCCTACTTTTCACTAAACTCTATTTATAACTTGGTATCATTGTTTGCAGATATTGATGAATGCCTAGAAAACACACATAACTGTACTGAAGACAGTACATGCATGAATTATATCGGAGGATATCGTTGCGTACGTGTAGAAGAATGTCAGTCAGGTTTCAAACGTAAATATCCACTTTCTCGATGTGAAGGTAAGTGATTGCAAGGACTGCTTAAAAAGAATCAAGTGACTTTCAGCTCAATTTTAATACTCAGTACGTGATCCTTATTGATTAAAGTTTCCAGGTTAGAATTTATCGTGCACTGACATCAGTCGGAAGAACATTGGAAACCTCGGGGTATTGGACAGCTTTTTCGTCCTAGTATGGATCCCCTCAGCAGTGCGCACCCAAGACTTCACTCGCCAGGGATCAAACCCAGGACCTTCATGTTCTGTGGCCAGCACATTACCATTAAGTCAGTGGGTTGGAATCCAGTAGTCCGTATTTCCTATTTTTGTCTGTTCACGATATAATTTATATAAAGTTTATTTTATATACTTACTACCACCGTTGTGAAGTTTGTACGAATAAAGCTGTTTACTTAAGTATCGCATACAGTTTATTTTTGAACCTGAATCACCCGGACAAGTTAGATCCAGATCCTTGTATTTAGTGTGCACTGACTTGTTAAACTGAGCCACTACATCAAGCTTATTACCCTTCAAAATACCACCAAAACCTCCGGTGATATAAAATTGATTATTGCAGTTTACTAGTGAGATTATCCACTTGACTTTTTCAGCGGACTGAGTATATCTTATCAATAAATGGTTAAACCAAAGGCTAACAAATTAAAAAACGGATTAGAGAATTAGTGTGTCTACAAACCATTCAAGTGTGTTCGAGTAAAGTACATGCACAGTGAATCAGCTTATTAGTTTCAAGTGAAATAAATACATTTTATGAATTTTCATCAGTTTATCATGACAAGTATTGTGTAAATGCATCATACTCCCTCATTTACCCTCCTCCTCTCCCTCTCTTCCTGTTGCTGGATGAAGTCAAGAATCAATGATGAAATTTATGTCCTTTCAAAGCACTACCTAGCTGAAGAAATTTTAACATCCCATTATAAGTATAGTCGGTTAGGAGTGGATTCTTTTAATAACAGTAACAACAATATTTGGTCTTAAATTTAGACAATATTTAAATTAAGCTGAAGTGTGTTTCATAAAAAAATGTGTATAAATGTTTTACCTTTCATCGATGAAACAAATCTCCGATGGACAGACATAGTAAAAAGCAACTTTTTAAAAACATCCGGTTATGTCAACAGTTTGGAAAAAAAAATCATAAACTAATTCGTATATCAGATCTTCTCTTACACCACCTTTAAACTTCATTTCACACGTAAGGTGTACAGAAATGTCATTAGCTTTATTGAAGCGATACCGCTTGGACCAGTACCAATCCTTTGTTTCTGACAGAATTTGACGTGAAACCATGTTCACACAGAAGTTGACAATATTGTAGTTTCTTAACAACCACTTTCACACACATTACCATAAGTTCAGTGTTTCCTGAAAGTGTGCATAATAATAATAATAATAATAGCTTTATTCCAAAAGCTATGTCGGGAATACTCTACAGATTTTTCAGCATGTCATATAGCATCAGTTAGTCAGGAATAGTATAGATGTATACACAGAAAAGTGAAATAAGTATAAATCACATTAAAAAAAGATAAGAATATTCACTCCATCTACAACTTTCTTGAAAATGTATAGTTGATTTAGGTAGACAATAGCATTAGGATTTAGATTCATAGTACACAAATAATAACAAGCTGTGTGATCTTTAATCAATTTGCTTTCAAAAACAGAAGTCGATTAGTTAGTTCTTTTGTACTACTCTCTTCATCACACAAGACACAAGCTGAATGCGCTATCGTAGAGGTTTTATATTCTGTAGTACTTGCATAAAGTCTTGTGTACTCACTCCTTGTCTTTCCTGATGACCGACACGCAGACAGCTTTGAGTGAAGAAGATGCTGGTCATGTGATAAAATAACTCCTGTCAGATCTCTACATGAATTAAGATGTTTGTCCACAACAGCTTCTTTTTATCTAGGAGGTTTGGAGATACAACACTCTTTCTGCTGACAATCTTGAAGGTAATACTGAGTGTAGCATAGTCTTCTTTCAGCCACCCAGGAAATAATAGAGGGGAACAACAGAGTGGAATGGGCATGGTGCAGGATTTTATGAGACAATATGAGAGGCTGAGTTATACCCGATACTCTTAGCTTCCTAATATATTAGATTAGGTGGAAGATTCTTTTGGAAATTATTAGGTTATGGGAGGACTAGGAAAAGTCCGAAGAAAAGCACATACTGATTGCTACTTATTAATTCTTAATCAATGGTTAATGTCTTTTTTCTGCTCACTAAAAGGATAAAAAGTAATTATTCACACAATTATGGGATTGATAATGCGAAAAGTGCAAAATGGTATTTTGTTCAGTCATTCATTTACAAAAGCCTTGATTGCTCCAGCAAAACGTAATATTTGACGCACGGTTGAGCTGTTCAGTGCATATGAACCCCTGAATCTTAGATTATTTGGGATTCTCTTAGAAAAAAATAGAAACCCTCCTCTTTCTCCTTTCAATGTATGTGCCTAAGTAAGTACATATGTAAATTGGTAAATAACATAGTCACCTTAAACTATACTGCCTAAATTTACTTTGTCCATCAAAACAATCACACTTAGCTTCCTTCTGCAATTCAGGTTAACTGGGATTACACTGATGTAATCTGACTGGATAGGTAGTCTGATGAAGAATAAACGATTGTATGTATCTTATTTGTATAACAATCAAGTTAAAAAGCTTAGTAACTGAAATGAAACTGAACTCTGGTTATGATTTACTTTCGGTAATTCAGTATCGTGGAGTACTGAATTAGTAAACTGCAGATTTTGAATTCAGATACCATAGGTAACACGCTTTTTATTTTATTCATCATTTCTTGTTTTATTATTAGCTACTTGAACTGAAAATTATTCATTCTTATTTCAATGGATTTCCATTACTGGAAATATCTATTTTGGAATCAGTTAATCAAGGGACTCAAATAGTTCACACTTAATACAATAACGTATCATTAAATGAGTGAATAAATTAACAACTTGACATATTGAACTTTTGATTGTCATTGAGCTCTATTCTTTTTCGATTGAGCATTGAAAATGTATGATTTTCAACTCTAATCTTTAATATTCTTTCCTCCTAGATATTAACGAATGTGAATTGAATATAGCAAATTGTGGAGCTCATACCTTCTGTAGAAATACAATTGGTTCATATCAGTGTATATGTAAACATGGTTATAAGAATATTAATGAAACAGACTGTATGGGTAAGATTTCATTGAACTGTTTTGCCTATTAGCTTTCCTAATCTTTTCACACAGTTGAAGATACTTATTTATTCAGGGAGTATAGTGCTGAATGTTTACACACTTATTAGCTCTGTGCGCCGACAACTGTCATTTGTATATTCCACACCGACTTCCCAAGTCTGTTGAAAGACATGAGAAAAACTTTTCAAGGGATTAGTGAAAGCTGGTCCCAATCTCATGTTTTAGATGTAAGTTAGAGGGGATGTCAGTTGAGGATAATGTCACAAAAACTTCGACAACCAGTGAAATCTCAAGGTATTAACGTATTTATGTAAATAATGACCTTCAGATTCGCCATAAGGATGCAGAACCATTTGGTTGCTGAAAATTGTTCAGCATCTTTGTTAACAGTCAGTATGACCTCATCATCAATATCTGGTGATCAGCTGGTGCACTGTTGGACTTTTCTAAATATCGATTTAGTTTTAAATTGTTCTATAGACACTACGATATAAAATTAATGATGGATAGTGGCTAACAGTGAAATATATCACAAAAACGAAGGCAATATCGAGGCATCCACGCAGTAGCCCATATACCAATAGAGACCGATCAATTCGGTCCAGTCAACGATGGTATAATACAAGCAATAAAACATTACGATGTAATACCTTAAGATTTATAAGTATAACAGTCGTTCTAAGATATTTGTGAAAATAGTTAATTCTACTTGCTTCTATATTAGTACATTTAAATCACTTTTAGTATCAGAGTCTTCTGACCCTAAATTATTGAGCATAACAAGTTAAATAGTCTTGGTCTTTTCCATGATGTGACATTTTAAAGACAGATGCCTTCACAACCAACCACTTCGTACCTTTTCGTGTATAGCAAAAAAAGTATGCAATAATCCATTAGAAACGTAATAATCAAAAAGCTTTACCTAAAAGTGTTTTTTCTAAAATGATAAATCATCCGCGTCATTCATGTTTGTGATTCATTTATAAGCAATGATTTTTAAGGCACATTAGGAAATAGTGCAAGTTAGTGTTACATCTAAAGTGGTATTTGCTTGATAGACTAACGTTAATTGAATATTGGGCAAGGTAATCAGCAGAAAGTCACAATAAAAACAGTTAAATAAGTTCAATGTATAGCATCTAAATCAAATTGTTTTATTTTTAGATGTCCTTGAAAGTGATATAGTAAAACAATTCGTTTCAACCCAGTAAACAAGGTGATTTTACTAAATACTCTAATGGCTTGTGAAATGATCAACTGAAGTGAAGGCTTAAAACATTTGTACTTTTGTACATATCTTTTCACTTGAAGACAGCTGTTCAAATACTTTATTAACAAATGGAATGTGTTTTACTCAATTCACGTGACTTGTTTGACCTTAAAAATGTTAGTAAATTAAATCTAATCTTGTATGAATGATATTTTCATATCTCCAGCTTAACCATATCATGGCTGCATGATTTTTTAAGTGTGGGAATAATGTGTAATAGACAACTATAGTCATATCACAGAGTTTCAGTAATATGCATCAAGTTGCATGAAACTACACTTTCTTTAGACGGGAACTTCAGTTTAAAAAGAGACAACTAATTTCATACATTGCTTTTTATGGTTCAGTAGCTTGGTCACAACTTGTGCTTCCTACTGATTTATGCAACAAGCATAAGACATATCATTTTACGTAAGAAAAAAGTATTAGAAGTCTACCACAAATTCTGTAATATATGGATCTGCAGCAAATGTCTGCTAGGGATCAGGAATTACAAGGAAGTTTGTTCATACTGGAGGAAATCCAAACTTGCTAATTCATGGAGTAGTTTACTGGATATAAATGGTTGATATTGGCTAGTAGTGAGATCCTGGATACGAGTTTTCTTCTGTTTGGGACTCGTTAGCTGGATACATCTGTCTCCAAGTAGGTGATGTTGTTCCCAATAAGACTCAAACCCAGGAATAATTACTTTCAACGCTAAACCGTTATTCGCCAGGCCACTGAGTCAAGATAGCCGCTATAGTTTATACTTTTTATCACCAATATAAAGTGAAAATACCAGAAATGCCACGACCTTTGCGCAGAAACCCATATGCAAATAGAGGCCAGCCAATCCGGTCCTATCAGTTACCGGGAATCGTGATCCATGACATCAAAATTATGCTATACTCATCGCATAAGAAGTGGCTACCGTGACTTGGCAGACTAGTGGATAACATTCAGTCTCAGTGGGAACATCACTCAATGAGAGCCAGGTGCATCCAGCTGACCAGCCCTAAATAGAACAAAACGAGCATTCTGAATTCCCCTGTTAGCCGTTACCTATCATTACTACTTTGGCGAGTAGTTTATAAAAAACATAATCCAATCTCATACAACACAAATAATAAGAAAAAAACAAATTTAAACTCAGATTATTATAGAATTCTCAACATAAAGCTCCAGTTTGTGAAAAGGATACTGGTATAGTTTATTTCCACATGATTTCATGACATTCGCTCATTGTACATAAAACACATTAACTGAATATCACATCTGTAATCCTATGACTGTGAAGCATTACCGGTTTTCCCATCTAAAATATTATTATCAAGTTAGTATTCATCGTAGTTTAGGAAGAAAAATACACGGAAAAGATTGGAAACGAAGTTTTTAAATCTGCCCTCTTTGAAGAAGGCAACATATATTCGTCTCATTTCCATAAGTTTAGGCAGACTGATTAATTCAAGAACCTCATTAATTCAGTATACAATGACATCAACTAGAAAGTTGTTTTATTTTATTCTGTTAATTAGAAATGTCACACAGTGATACAGTATCATTTACTGGATAACGTTTCGGACACAATTTATCGTCCGTATTCAGATCAGGTAAAGCAGGTAAAAGTTCTGGAGAAAGGCTGTAGGTTGGATTGAAACCAGATATCAATCCCAAAATAGAAATAGCGCTAAGTTCAGTGGATAAAACAACTGCAGATGAGGTAAGAGCATAGTTTTCTTTAACACTGAAACAACAGAAACAAATAAAGTGTAACTTACCCAAGCCAGAAAAAGAAGCCCTCAGGAACCTTCAAAATGGTAGCAATATAACAATTAACAAATAGGATAAAGGCAACTCAACAGTTGTAATGAACACATCTGACTACATCTACAAATCGAATGAGCATATAGAAACAGGACCATATAAGGAAATTAAGAAATCAGTGGATACTATTATGAATAAGAAATTGACAGGGGATTTGATACGACAGATAAAACCGTTTCTAGGTGAATCAAAATGGTTTAATTTAATGCCCGAAACTAATAACCCCAGTAGAATGTATGGTACTATTAAGATTCATAAGTCAGGTTACCCTATTAGGCCTATATTAGATTTTAGAAACACTTTGACTTACGAGTTGTATAAATATTTAGCAATGGTGCTAGACCCGATAAGAAATCCCTTAAAATCCCGACTTACTAATTCTTATGACTTAAAATGTAGATTAGTTTATATGCGTTTAGATGACAATGAACAAATGAATAGTTCTCACATATCTAACCTTTACACGAATATACCGATCCATATGACTAAAGAGGTAGCTAGAAATAGGCATAAGAATGACGATGAGCTTACACATCGAACTAAGGTGCTGATCTAGGAAACCATGCAAAGAGTACGATTGTACCTGATATCCACGGTTTTACGTCTCAAAATAAAATATATAAACAAATTGAGGGGGTTTTCAAGAGATTACCAATATCCCATATCGTTGCAGACATATTTATGGACAGTTGGGAACGGATGGCCCTTCAAAATGTCCTTCCTCCTTCAAAGATATGGTTCCCATGTGTAGATGATAAGTTTATAGTACTGAAATCGGAAAACATCAATAGTTTGTTAACACAAATTCAGTAGCGAATGTAGTCCAGTTTACCTGTGGTGAAAGTGAGCTAGCAGTGTTAGACTGGAAGATTAAACGAAAACAAGATGGAAGTTGAAAGACTAGTGTGTTTAGAAAACCTTCCTACTCTAATCCTCGCTTAGACTTCAAACAAAGTAGGCTTAGTTAGACTCCTAAGTAATAGGTGAAAAAAGCGTACTAGCAAGACAGAAAATCTACTTCAAGAAATTAGCCATATCAAGAATACCTTGCGTCTCAATAATCACCCACCTAAATTTATAAATAAATCCATAAGAAGTCGAAAGAAAACTATTAACAATAGTAGTAACAATACCGGTGTTAATAATAATTATTCTACTGCTAATGGTAATAATGGTGAAAGGGTTGAGAGAGAATTCAAAGCATCTACTGTCTTATCATACAAGGAAGGTACCTCAGTAGCATTATGAAAAAGTCTAAATAAGGCTGGGATTTAAGTGGCAGTTAAACCAACAAACCCGCTGAGAAACAAGCTTGTAGGTTAAAAGGTCCTACAAATGCAATTAAGCAAAATAAATTGGTTTACCAAATCCCTTGCAACGACTGCAAGGCCAAATACATGGGTCAGAGTTGTCGACGAGTGTCAATTAGAATGACAGAACACAAAAACTTAGCTAAATCAAGGTTAGCAGATCCTAATAAGATAAGAACTTTAGAGAAAAGCTCAGCTATAACTATGCGCACAATCATACGCAATCACATAGTAGGGTGGGATAGAAAACTTAAAAACTTAATTCTACGGAGGGGGAGATTGCTAACCGAATTTTTGTTTATCGAATCAACATCAAATGCATGCAATAGAAATGATTCTGTACATGTCCCAGATATATGAGAAATTTTACTATCCATCTCTTAAAGAAGGAGAGAAAATTAGGACTATATAAACTGTCTAAAAGTGGTACAGCTACCTGATTTGAATATGGACAATAAATTATGTCCGCAACGTTATACAGTAAATGATATTGTTTCACTGTATGACATTTCTAATAGACAGACTGAAATGGAATTATAACCTATCACAGTGCTAAAGTTTTAATCTGATATTCATAGAAAGTTGTTTGTTTTCAGTTTTGTAATTCATTTGAAATGTTCGTTTCTTGGCATCATATACTGTTGCAAACAGAGTTTCCATGATTACAGCAAGCATATGAACACTCAGTAACCTTATCAAAGGCTAACAATCATCAGTTTCCAAGTTCATTGAAATGAAAACATTGTGAAAACCTTGTATATGATTGGTGATCGTCTGCTAATAAAGGATTGATGCTGAAATGTTTGTTTCATTACTCTGTTGGGATACTGTCAGCTCTGAGGTCAGACATTATGCAAACGAAGCATAAGGCTCGTCAATGACATTCACTAATAATCATGTTATTTAATAGGTTGAATTTCAAGTCAGTATTATATTATTAATTTGACAGACACTAGAATGTAATGCCTAGTGTGAAAATCTATATATTATGAATGGTGAGTACCGTTCGAGAATTCCAAAGTGAAGTCAATGAACCCTTCAATGCCTTATACTTTTTCAGATACAGCTTGCTACCGATTTCTCCCAACTATCTAGAATCAATTAAACTACCCCATGATGTTTCTAGCTTGATGGTTATACTACAGAATGATCAGTAGGATTCAGAATGTACTGGTTATTCTCCAGTGACCGATCAGTGTACCTAGTTAGTATCAGCCTGTGACTATATCAATAACTAAATAGTAACCAAACGATTATACTTCTCTGTCTATCTTTTCTCATGTTATCCTTTATTACTCACTTAGTAGAAGCCAACAAGTAAGGGTAAAAGAATCCAATACACTTAATACTGACACATTTCTGTAAATTAGGACTGAGAGATTAGTGGGTTAAAATAATCATAAAGATGATTCGGTTTTGAAGTTTATTTGGATTGATTACAGGGTAATATTCATCATAGACTGAACACAGTTACAGAACCAATGAAAACCTGGGACTTTACAAAAGTAGCTATCCAGGACTTCACCAGGGATCAAACTTATGACCTTCAGACCACGTGGTAAACTCATTTGCCATCCAGTTACTGGATCAGACTTCAGTGGTATGTCAATTAGCGATGTAGAGCAACTATTCACCAGGCTGACAACCGCTTCACTTCCGACTGGTTGACTGTACAGGTCAAGGCTTCTCATCAGGGCTGTGGGATATCCATCTCAAAGCATGTCACTAGACAATAGTTCAGTTTGAAGTTTCTAGAAATTTTATTTATTCCAAGGTGGTAGTACTTCTCAAGAGTTTCATAATGGGACGAAACGGCTGTTCAATGCTCCCAGGTTTTTAGTAATTCTTCAGCTGATATCAGTTTGTTATGAATAATAACGTGAAATGAAAAAGCCACCCTAAACCTCAAACTAAGCTTCTTAACTCTGTCAATTCGTGATGTGCCACCACAGACCAGTATTTGTCTTCACATCCGACTTGGTCAACCTCCGAGTTTGATTTCTGGTGAAGACGTGTTTACGAACTGCTTAGGAGTTCCATACTACTACGAGATATATGTCCTGTATCCCCAGGTCCTTGGTGGTTCTCTAAGTTATGTCAGTCGGTGATAAATCCTACCCTAAAACCTTCTAGATGACTTTCCCCACGGGTTCATAATAGTCAGAGAGTTACTAGGAAGCAAAAAACATAAAACTCCATTTAATTCTAATACTCGATAGGATTATGTGCAAACAACCATTTTCTTAAAGCATGCCAAAGTTATGCTTCGAATCTTCATTGTATTCTGGTGAATACGTGACATATAACCGAATTAGCTACTATATAATCGCTTACATATTGTAATACTTCTAAAATCACCGATTTCTAGGACGTCTGAGCATCCGAATTCTATTTACTTATTTATCTTTCTGTTCTATGAATAACTAATGCATAGTTATTCATTGTTTGTTTTTTTTCAAATTCACTAAAGATGTTGATGAATGTGCAATATTCACACCGGCTGAATCATGTCCTGATTCAAGAGCCCGATGCGTCAATACTCAAGGAAGTTATATATGCCTATGCCCTAAAGGTTTTAATTGGATAGGCTATCCAGATTTGAAATGCAAAGGTAACATTAACAATTTTATCTTGCTTATTAAGATTTATATTGAGGCGAAAAGGTTGAATATATGCCTACACTGTACATTGTTAATGTGATTATTAATTTAAAAACCGCAAATCGAGTGGTAAACAGAAAAAAATCAGCTAAGGGTTCCTCTTTTCGTCGACTCATTCTGTGGCTGCGATAACGCATATATATATATATATATATATATATATATATATATATATATATATATATATACTAATATTATTGTTTTGCCTTTGGGTTCCTAGTGGAACACAGGGCTTTAGTAACACGCAGCCATTTCAATCTCTTCTTTGCAGTCTTTTCAACCTGACTCCACGAATGCCCAGTGGCTTTCACTTCTTCCTCACACATGATCTCCTCCATGTCACCGTCGGACGCCCGACTAGTCGTTTCTCATTTGGGTTCCACTCGAGGGCCTGGCCTGGTGCGTGATGTCCCTGAATGGTCTTCTCAGTGTATGTCCAGTGCAATCCATCTTCTTCTGCATATTTGTTGGGCGATAGGTTCTTGTTTCGTCAGAGTTCCTTGTTGCTTATTCTTATTATTCTGGCCATCTGATCTTGAGTGTTAGTATCGAGTGAGCGTAGGCGGCAGCTTTTGATATATATCTGCAGTTTGTTGAAGATGCTTTTCGTAACGTGTCAAGCCCTTGAACAATGTAGAAGCACTGACTTGACTGACTTGGTGTTGAAAATACGGATCCTGTTTTTCATGCTGAGTGGAGTAGATCTCTACAGTGGTTTCAGGTTAATGAACGCTTGTCTTGCTGTCTTTTCGATCCTGACTTTGACGTCCTCATCTGTGCCACCTGTAGTTGAAACGATACTGTCTAGGTGGTAAGTGAAAGAGACAACTTCCTCTAGGTTTCTTCCGTTGATGGTGACTGGTGCTTGTTGTTGGTTAGGTATCTTCATCACCTCTGTCTTCTCTACATTCACCTAAAGGAAATCCCGTCTTCGCTGCCCTGCCTCTTCTGTCAGCTTGTTGGTTTTTGCCTGTAGGACTTCGAGTTCGTGAGACACTAGACATAAATAATCATCGTTGGCGAAATCCAAATCTTCTAGAACCTTCTCATCGGTCCAGCCAGCGTATGCCCCTCTTCTAACTCCTCACAGTTTGTTGCATGGTCCAATCCAGCTGGCCACAATCAGAAAGATCATCGGTTATCATATATATCCATACACATATAGCACTTACTTAGCAACACAAAAGGAATATTTCGAAAAGCATGTTAACAAAAATCAGTTCCGATATAGGGTCTGGATATTCAAAGTAAGAAGAGGATTACGCAGTGTGAAAATAAAGACTTATCGAAGGCCAAAACAAGATAGGGTAACTAGGTTGCATGCTGTAACACAGTTATAAGAATCGAGTGTAGTTCAACAATGAAAAATTAGGCTGGCAAGGTATAGGAACAGGTTTATAAGAGTAACTTACTTGCATGATACAATACATTCAAAATAATTCTCGAAGCCGATGAGTCTGGAACACAGAATTAAACAGCCAGGAAAGAAATTCTGTACACTGCTGAAGAAAATGAATCAATCATTAGCAGTGATCTCTACGAACAGCTCCCCCCTACTAGCACTATTACTCCACGTTTGAATAGTATACCAAAAGTGCACAAAGACGGCGACCCTCTCCATCCAATACTTAGTGAACATGGTAAATTCTGCATGCTGAACAAGTGCAAAATGCCTTGCAGAAATTCTTGGACCTGTAAAGAAACATTTCTTCAATAGCACTGTTTGTAACACAGACAAATTTGTTGATTAAATCAAAGATAATCGTAAGAAAAACTGTTTATTTGAACATCATATTACAATTCACAAACTTACTGTTAGCAGAAACAGTCTGTTTCTTGTACAGCTTCATCCAATCCGGAAATCCAGTCGTTAGCTTGTGAAACCACTACTTACAAGAACTTCTCCTATGATACATGTTTAACGTCCACTTCAATCAGATTTAATAACAAAATCTGCGGACAAACTGGTTTACGAGTGGCATCACCCTGTGGACATCAACTTGCCGACTGCTTCATGGATAGTCTTGAGAACAGTACATTCATCTCAACGACAGATTGACCTCATGTATATAAAACATACACTGACGATACTTTCATTGTTTGTAATGACAACTTGGACACGACATGCCTCCTTCAAAATTCCAACGGCAGCCAATCTTCGGTCAACTTTGAACTGGATGCTGAATCAAACTAGACATTTTATGTTAGCGATGCCAAACCCCAAAGGAGGCTTGGTAATTCCATTCAAAGATCCATCTGCAAGAAGTTCACATGGGACACGTAACCTTAAAAGGTGTCTTTAAGTAGAAAAAGGAATCTTGTAATTTCCCTGTCATCACGAGAAAGTTATTTAGTTATGATAAACTTATTAAAGGATTAGCAACCCTTCAAGAAATACTCTTAAATAATGGCTACCTATCCAGATTCATAGACAAATATGGTAGAAGAGAGAAGGTTATGGGACAGATTCAATCAGCTCCGATGAAAATACCCTTAATGAACCTCAGATTCAGAAGTGACGTTGCTGCGGAAACTCTTCATCAAAGCCTATCAAAGTCCCTTGGCTTCAAATCTCTATATTGTCTTCTCATGTCAGCAGGTGATTCGTCGGTGTGTAAAAGACAATGTGATGCATTCGACCTCATCAATGTAAGTACTTTGGCTGTACTGCACGCTCATTTGTAAAACGCTGTCACTAACTTTAACCAGCCTGGGTGAGCACAAAACCGTCTCCAGCCCCAGAATTGAACACTTCACAGACTCTGAATATTTGGCTCCACCGAAAACTTCATTCAGAGTTCTCTACAAAGTCCGAAAAATCGTTCAAAAGGGATGAGGATCGAACACTTATGTATTTACTTATTTATCTTTGCCAGGTACTAGGTCTTAGTGTCCATTAGCACTTTTTAAAAATATTGAGAATATTTCTTGTGTTGCGTAATATCATCTCATTCCCTCTTTCTAAATCTATCGATTGAGTCTGATCTTAGACCGGAAACATATTGAACATTCTATCATTTTACCCATGTATGTAAGAATGTACAGCTTTGGATATGAGTCGCTGTAGTCTGCTTTTGTTTTTCAACTCAGTCTAGTTTAATAATCAAAATTAGACTGGTGAGGTTGAAGGAAATGTTATAAAGAGAGAAGACGTAGTAGGCTAATAGGGTCAAGAAAAAAAAGAAACATTTTCCTATTTCAAAATCCTTACTCAAGTTAAGTCCACTGTTAGTCTAATAACTCAAGAAACTTCTTTTTTATGCAAAGTTTAGGTTTCAAAATATGAAATGTAATGGTTGCCTCAGTTTGACGAAGTTTCATTAGCATGAACTCTGTAGAGGACAACAAAGTTCGATTGTAGGTCTATCTTGTGTCTAGAATCGATCAACTGTCCTAAAACTGAACTGTGAGATGTTCTTTTCCCATTGTAAAACCAATTTGGTATATGTGCTGTGACGCGTTTAGGAAGCAGATGCTGTGTACTGTTGACATGACTTTCTCCACAGGAACAGGTGAGTTAATACATGTACACTCGGAGGTTTATCCACCACGAATAATAAAGTCATTAATTGCATAGAAAAAGCGAGTCTGAATTTTGCTGCAAAAAGCGTTTTCTTCAGTGAACTAGATGAACCGGTTTTTAATATTCTAGCCGATGAATCCCCACTGAACTGCGGATTCAAGAAGGGCAGCATTTTTTAGAACCATAAGTGTTTGATGTTGTTGATCTTAGCTTTTAGAGGCACTTAACTAAGTTGAGTGAAGTCAAACAACAAAGCTGATCTTGTAGAACATCATAGTCAGCTCTCTGAAGATGATTTTTAAAGATTCGAGTTTACAAGCCTAGAAGATTTTAAAATAGCATATTTAGGCAGATACTAGGTAGCTTGAAATCCTGGAATAATATGTGACATCTTGTAGTGAAACGAAAAAACTTTTGATGAGTTAGCTTGGCCATAAATTGACCAAAAAAACTACCTCTAACTTAACTCAAGCGCCTTAGTGAATGTAAATGAAGAATAGTGAAATATAAACACAGGAGAAACGGAAATATTAAGCTCAGCTAGTTCTAGTTTTCAATACCCAAACACTATATGCACCCCACCAATATAGGAGTAAAAGTTAGGCACTTTAGTGGGTTGTAATTCTATTTTAGTCTTTTTATTCTATGTATCACACGGTGAAGCAGTATTATTCACTGGATCGTGCGTCTGGAACGTCAATCGGAGTTAGTATGTTCTGCTGAACTGTGTATGTTGCCGAAAAAGAAATCTTCTCGAAAGCGATAAGAAGCAGTTTTAATAAGTCTGGAATTAAAATGGTATTTAAACGTGCAAGCCCTTTTAGGAGCTAGATTTGTTGGTTAAGGTTTCCTATTGATCCAGTTAGGCAGAAACCAGAAACCATACGTAGGATTCTCAACAAGGTTGGAATTAGGGTGGCATTTAAACCAACAAACTCACTTAGAGGTAAGCTGTGTCGGCTAAAAGATCCGATAGAACCAATTAAGCAAAATAATATAATCTACCAAATTCCATGTAATGACTGTGAAGTCAAATACATAGGTCAAACTAGCCGGTCGGGGTCAGTTAGATTAACAGAACATAGGAATTTAGCTAAACATAGAACGGCAGACCCCAATAAGATCAATAACCTAGAAAAAAACACTCGGCCATTGCATTACATTCATTAACACACAACCACACAATAGGGTGGGAAAACCACTGTACTTAAGTCTAATATAGCTAGGTGGAGAGAGAGATTAGTTACTGAATCTTTGTTCATCGAATCCACACCCAACACATGTAATAAGAATGACGTAACACCTATACCAGAGATATGGAAAACTTTACTACCAATCAAAAAACAAAAAAACAAAGAGAGATCAGGTGACAGGACTATAAAATCAGATATCGAAAGAAGTGTGATTACATTGATATGATTATGAGCAATAATTTATGCTGGAAACGTAATCAAGTAAATAATACTGTATCACTGTGCGCTTTATATCAAATAAACAAATCTAATATAGAAAATAACTCTGCCCATTAATTACCTTACAATGAATATGAAGTCAAACACACAGGTTAAAGCAGTCGAATAGGGTCAATTTGGTCGTCCAAACACACAAACTTAACTCAGTCGAGATTGACAGGTTTTACTTAGATGAGGAATCCCGATAAAACTTGTCCTTAGTGGTAAACGCCAGAAAACGCAACAGGAATTGGCAGGCAGACTTTCTTAAAGACTAAGTCAGGTGGAAGGAAAAATGCTTAACTGAATTCTTCTTTATCGAAGCAACAGCAAGTAGATACGATAGGGAATGATTCTGAACATGTTACAGATATATGAAGGATCCCACTACTCTTATATCATGAGGAAGGAAAAAGAATTAGAAGGAGGTAAAGGATGTCGCAAAGTTGTAGAGTTACCTGATACGAATATAGACAATAAATTGCCTGAAAATGGCTATCCAGTTTTATTGTATATCTAATAAACAAACTAAAATGAAACTTCACTTCAACTTATCACAGAATTTTTAAAACTCTATTCTGAGTCTTCTTCATCAAAAGTTCATACAAGTCACATAACCCGCCAAAGAGCTGAGAGTATTCAATAGCCTATCACCTAATTCTCTGAGGTCTTTAAACAAACAAACAGTAAACTCCGGGTATTTTTACCAGTGTTTACAAAACTGTAGATACCTTTAGTGATGCAACATATTACAAGTGGCATAATTTTTAACGAGTATCTTCCTATATTCACTTATGTAGATGCTTCAAATTTATCCATTTAGATCCTGGTTATAACATTTACTTTCTTCATTTTGGAGAGCATCCAAGATAGACATGCGTAGTTTGGAAGACCGACATTGTTGCTATGATAATGATAAATGAAGGTAAAACAGTAGCCAAACAAAGCCTTTGATCAGTGAAATGAAGTTAAGATCTAGTCAGCAGCTGATTTTCGTAGCTCATTTAGCAGAGCACAATGACAGGAATCCGGATTTCACAGACTCGAATACCACTACTAGCCAGGTTTTTATTTCGCTTGGTATCACTTATTTTCATTGTTGAGACATTCTAAATTGGCTGGTTTATTCTCATTGGCTCAAATTTCAATTGCTTCAGCATTTTCCAGTGAAATATTTGCTAAATTAACGAACTAGATTCGTTGTTGGCAGTGCACTTGACTCTTAAGTTTCAAGATAGTCAAAATAAACGTTTTATGCAGAAAACTACTGAATTTATAAAAATAATATAGAAAAAACTTGATAAATAGCTGGTCAGTTTTCCTACAACATGTTATTGGACAGTGACTGCAAGAGATACAGAAATTTAGTAACCAATAATACTTCACTCAGTGATATGTTGTAAATAAACCTTAACATGGAATTATACCCGTGCATACTTGGAAGTGAATTTTGTGTGAGACAGAATACTGGTTATGATTGACAAACGAAACTGAGTATTGAATCATCAGTTTATCGAACAACAGATAACCAGGTGACCTTGTTGCCATTCATCAAACACCCTTTAAAGTGAATCAGAATATCCATGGCTTCATACCTGGTTCCTGAGTACGCATTGCTTCGAAGTCTTATACTAGGACGAAACAGCTATCCCGCGCTCTCAGGCTTCTAATGGTTAGCTAGCGAATGTCAGTCGATGATGGTTACCACCTCGGAACTGAAATCACTTTTTTTTCAAATCGTTAATTGCTTCACAAATCTCATTAGCTTTTTCTAGTTATGATTGTGCTCTAAAATATTGTCAACGTTCATATTGACCTTTATTCCATGAAAATTAAGTTAAGTTCATTCAGTTTGAAGAAAATCAGTTTGGCTCAGTATGTTTTTCTTTAAGAGGTAATACCAGTGAGAAAATTCGTAAACGCTATGAACCGTTATATTCTCGGCCGCAAATGATATTTAACCTAAAGCCTGGAGAGTCACATTGAGATCACTTGATACTAGATCTTGGTTGTTTTAGAAGGGCAGATATTAGTCAAAGTCAAAGACTTAGAGGCCATTCACCTCAGTGACTAATCACGCATGTTGTAGTTGTATGAAATAAGGCTTTTTAGTACTGTCTGAATTGCATGTCATATGATGCAAAACTACCTTCTGATTTTCAATGGTCCTCTAAATCATGCTAGTTGTCAATGTAACCTACATAACTATTGATAATCAAGCCTTTTATTTGGCATATTCCTTATAAATCGTATACGAAATGCAATGATGGCGTTCGATTTTGCATTCATATGCATTTCCAAAACATTATACTGATTTAATCCTGATTGACCCATTCTTTTCAGTAAAACCAACTATCTTTTCTTAATTTCTAAAGAAAAGGTCAATAGTATTGTCAGTCATACGTGATTGAAATGTGTCAAAAGTGAAACTCATTTAAATCAACATACATGTAAGAGAGAGAATCAAAAGAGGCAGGTAAAAATTTTGTTTAAATTAATGAGTGACAGTTACAACAAAAACAATAAACAGTCTGACATACTTATTAAATCGAAGTAGAAAGAGAAAGCAAGCTCATTGAATTCACATTTGTGAAGTTGTATGATTTGCATTACTTGTTATTCTAAAGTCTACACTCTGCAATTCTACACTGCGCTACAAAATGTGACAAGTTATCAGTTGTTTTAATGAACTGTTACACTGTTTAATTTCGAAAAAGCTGCCTCTTTATCCACTCTCCTTTTCAGTTAAACATGATGATTTCTTAAACAACATGTAGAATCTGATGATACTGATCATACAATATTTTAAAATGTCCTCTGTATCACACTTGTTTGGGTCAATAAGTACCATAAGTGGTATTCAGTCGGAAAAGTCTATTACTGTTGCTCACTCGTAGAGTACAGATCTCCTAATCACAGAGCATAAGACTAGTCATAACCTCACTTTACAATGCACCTATAATGTACGCAACTACATGACCATATTAATGCAAACAGTGTGAAGTTGTTGTTTTTTGAAGTAACAAATTTAGTGATTTAAAAGATTACTTACTGAAGCAAATCCCTATTCTCATTCAAAGAACCGTTACGAGTGCAGGTATTTCATCAGCATATGTGACCAATGAGTACTTCAATCATTTACATAGAGATCAGTGTGATGAAAGGTGTAATATTATCATCAAAAATCATTAGTCCGCTCAATGTTCCTACAATCTAAAGGTGACCACACTTGAAGGTAAAATCACATGAGAAACCAAAGAGTCAGTAATGCGACCTACTTAATATCAGATTGAACACTTTAAAGTATACTGATTGCATTGATGTAATTACACTTTCAATATCACCTTAAAATTTTTAATCTGCTCATATTTCATTTAAGCGACAAACTGAGTTCAGTTCGATTGTGTTTAAACGTCTTACACCAAACTACTAAAAAATGTTTGAGTAGTATGCAGAAAATGTTGACAAACTTCAGCTCCTACTATTGCTTATATGACAAAAACCTATCCTACAATTTATGACAAAGGACTAAAATAATGATGATCGATTTTGAGGTAATTTGGAACCAAAATGTTTTTGGCTGTTCAGGACAAGAAACTTAATTCATACTCCTCAAGTGTAGACAGTAGATCCACTTGAAAATGCTCTTACTTACTGGTGATGATGTTCACTAGGTCAAAATACAAGCAGAGCTTCATGTGTAATTCAGTATTAGATTCTACGGAAATGATCCAGTTAGTGGATATTTATGGCGCATATTTAGGTGTATAAAGACGTTTCTGATGTCCAGAATTTCCATCATTCCGTTCCATATTCGTTATAGAAAGCCTAAAGTGACAAGTTTTCAATATGATTCACTTACCTATCCATAATGAAATTAAAAAACGCGATCATTTAATCGTTTTTACAGTACTGTAATTATTTTTTGTACATACAGATATTAATGAGTGCCAAGAAAAGCCAAATATTTGTGGAAAAGAGCATCAGTGTGTCAATATGATTGGAAGTTATCGATGTGAATGTGCCTCTGGATATAAGAATGGTGAAAATGAAAAAGTTTGTGTTGGTAGGTATGACAGAACTCTAATTTTGATACTGTTGATAATTTCATTTAATTGAACAGACTACTGAGTAGGAAACAGCAGCATGATCGGTATTTATAAAATAAAAAAGCATTCAGAAGTTGGCCGTGTGACTGTTTGTGGGAAGAATAAATAAACGTCATTCGTTTGTATAAAAACGAGTTGTTATGCTTAAATCACCCATTAGAGCATACTTAACAACTAAGTAGCATCTGCCTCTACATATACTGACACTTTAGGGTTCATTTCCAAAGTAATACATCTAGCGCACAAATGAAAAACCAGGAGTAAATATCTAAAATGCATTTTCCCTCCGATGATTGAGTAACTATATTTGACATTACGAAAATTCTCATGCTAAGGTGAATTCCCAGCTACATGACAGGAGTTTCTTCATCAACTGGAAGTGCTGAAGCGCAAAATAAAATTCAGTGGGTAATTCATATTTTCAATTTGGAGGTTTTTAGAGATTTATCCATTGATCCCAGATTGGCATCCATCATGGACTGACATAAATCAGAGAAACATTGGAAACCTGAGAGCACTGGACAGCTGTGTTGTCCCAGTATATGACTCCTCAGCAGTGTGCACCAGTGACTAATGGCTCAATGATGAAGTACTGACCACGGAAACAGGAGGCCATGGGTTCCATCCTTGTCGGGGTCATTGGTGTGCACTGCTGAGGAGGCCAATACTAGGACGAGACAGTTTTCCAGTCCCTCTAAGTTCTCGATGTCCTTCTAATTGATGTCAGTCCATGATGAATACCAACCTCAAACCAAACTCAAATTCTGCTACAAGGATGATACGTGGTGGTTGAAAAGTTCAGTCAAACCAAGTCCTTAATTTATTCGTATAAAAGGGGATTATTACTCTGAATCTTATATACCGCGCCTGGTGCCCATGTATGTTTGTTGTATAATGGCCAACTAGTGATATTAAGTTGATCCGAACGATCCGTGTCATCTGTGAACCGAACCTTTTACAATACACGACTGATGAACTCATCCTCAAAAGGTTGAAATATTTCTACAGTGTCCAGCCTCATTGGAGATACCTGAATATTTACAGAAGTAGTTTCTTTACTGCTATTGCCGTCCACGAAGTAGGAACCATGGTAAGCAACCACCTGCGAACGCATTCAGTTAGGTTTACAAGACTCTTAATTGACACATGAATGCGCATATCTGTGTCCTAATCCTTACTCATTTTTAGCTTGGGTCATGTGAAGCTGTATCCCTTTTAAGTCAGTGTTAGTCTTGGTAACTTTGCACTAGATCCACAGATTGTTTATTAAAACCATCTAGAATGTAAAGAATTCCACTGCAGCACGAAAACAAATCCCTCTTAGCAGTTATTTATGTAGTGGTTTGATTCTTGAAGATTCACTTCCATACAGAACTTTAATACTGGATTAAAACACTTGTGCATAGTGTTTAAGAGAGGAATATCCGTATCAAAATCGACGACAATGGCCTACAGATAGATAGGTGGGTGATGTAATGCAGAAGCGACGAATAGCATTCAAAACGAACGAAATGAGCTGTTTTAATAAATATTCAAAGCTTTTTAAATGTCAAATGATATACTCCAAGAATGATAACTACAAATGGGATGAGACATTGAACACAGTAGTAGATTACAATGTTAGATGTTGGGATATTCATGACTTGATAAAATAGTATTATTTACTGCGTAGCATGATTTGTTATCCATGGTTTAGATCTTGGCTGGTAGTTATAGTTGTTGATATCGAGACCAAGGATAGGGAAATGAGCTCTACTATAGCTGAGGATGTAATCATATAGAATCAAATAAGAGGATAAGATAGTATGATAGCTTTTCGAACTGAGCCAGATGAAAATAAAGAATGATGACTGACTTTCCGCCCCTCTAAGCTGACAATAAATTCAAGCAACAACAGAATATGACTCAGTATTCGTTCTAGATTGCCTGAAATTTCCACCACTCCTACAACAAAGAAAAGAAGAAGAACAGAATTTTAAAAACGAAGTTATCCAGTTGTCTTTACGAAGCTATTTCGTTTCAAATGCTAATGAACAATTGGTACTATCTTTTAATATGGTGTATTTAACGTTAAGAACAACGCAAAAGCCTGACAACCACATTCTAACCTATAAATCTAAACGTTGCTTTTCTTTTAAAAATATCTTTATCGAAGCCAAAATTTAAGTGTAAGTGTATAGCTTGAGCTTCCATCTACTGATTACTGTTAAGGTTCATATCATTAGACACATAGTGAATTTGCGTACAGTGGTTATTTGTAAACATTGCCCATATGAGCATTACATTTAATGCACTCACCCTCTTTACCAGAGATAAAGTTTTGTTTTATAATTTATACTACTTACAAGTATTTCAAGTAGCCAACACATTTTTACGTGTATTTAATTGGTCCAAGCAAATACTGTATTATTATTTTTATGCTTTTAAATAAAAAAAGAGTTAACCGAAGAATAAAATTGCTGACCACTTTTCACTAAACTTTTCTTCTTCCCACATTTAAAAAACTATGAATAACAACTATTGAAAATGTGAAATGGAAATAAATCTGTAAAAAAAACAAAACAGATATCGATGAATGTGCTGCTAATCTATACAGTAACAATAACAATTATATCTCTCCTTGTCCATATTCATTGTGTATTAACCAACCGGGAAGTTTCAGATGTCAATGCCCAGATGGATTCCGTTTAGGCAGAGGTAACCGCTGCTATGGTAAGATATGCATATTTCACTAAAATTGTTCTGTTTAGTGCATTGATTTCAACAAATATTTTTAAACTTAAGTTGCCACCCATACTAGCATTAACTGTCCGACTATATATCACTTTTCAGTTATAAAATGAAGAAATGGTCAATCTCACACTTAACGTCACTTATTAGTTTAACTATCTGAGATAGCTGTGGCCCGCTACAGGACTCGAACCAGCGACCTCTGGGTCTCGGTTCGAGTCCTACCGCCGGCAAGATCTTCATTTAACTGTCGGTCATCACCCAGTATTAGTACAAGCCTGGCAAATCTCAAGTCGTCAAACTGATAACTGTATGCTTTGCATCACTACAGTGAAACTGTGATGAAGGTATTAAGCTTAACTAAGGATAGTCAGAGCATGTAGTTATAGATAAAAACAACTGCTTAGATTAAAAACTATTCTGGCAAAAATACAAACGATTACTATAAATCCCTTAGACACATCAATAGCAGTAAGACCTCAACAGAATCAGAACTATAAAATTAGGTGAAGTGATTTTTTAGTCGGTAATAAAAATACTGACGGATATAGGAATGCATGCTCAAATGAATACAGCTAAATCAGGGTATGCAAGTAAAATGACTAGTAAATTAAACGTGATGCAATTTTGCTCATCAACTTGACCAGTTAGAAACATCATACCCTGCAAAGAGAATAAAACGTTTTACCTACTTTTCTTGTTTATTTATGCTCAGCGCGAAAATCTGTCTGCACCGCGAAAGGTGAAAAATATTGTCCTTAAGATTCAAATTAATCGTTTCAGTCAACATTTTTGAGTAATTAATAAATATTTAAAAAGCTGAGAAAATATAATTGTCAAGAGAATTATGCTTACGATCCACCATATTCACGCTCAGAGGAGATCTCTACAAAGAGATAGATGGTATAGCAATGGGATCTCCAGTATCACCAATAGTGGCTAACTTGTTCATGCATTCGTTAGAGACAAATGCAATAGCCAATTGCTCTACACCTCCAAGAATTTGATTAAGGTACGTAGACGACACATTTGTCATCATCAAGCGAAACAGTCTGAATGAACTATTCTGTCACATAAATAATGTTTGCAGAAGTATTACTTTGACCAAGGAAATTAAATCCAACTTGTCGAAATTAAACTTTATGGATTGTATGGTGGGAAGACAGGATTACAACAAACTAAAGATTAGGATTTTCAGAAAAACAGCACATTCTCACAGACACCTCGACTATGAGTCTGTACATCGTGTGACTACTAAAGTAGCCGTCGCATGGAATCTAATGAACAGCGCTAACTGTCTTGTTACAAAGAGAGAGAATAAAGAAGAAGAGTTAAAGTTGGTTTGCCGCACACTGGAAGCGAACAGTTGTACCAGAGGTTTCGTTAAACTTATTTGAAAAAATGAAATTAAGGATGTGCCGAAACTTCCTACGAAGAACTGGATAAACACTGGCATAATCGCAAACAGCATGAAGACGAGAAGAAATAAGAAGAATTCTCAACGAAGGCGACATGAGTTTGCTTTCGTGCAACGAAAACCCTACGTTCTAACTTAATGAGAGTTAAAGATGTAGTACCTAAAGAAAATCAGCAGAACTGAGTTTATGAAATCAGATGCGGAGATTGTACTGCAGTATATGCAGGGGAAACAACGAGGCAGGTAAATGTGTGTCAATGAGCATTAACTATGCTTAAAGCAGATCGCAAAAACCTCGACAGACGTTAAGAAACTAGAAAACGAACCCGCATACGTGCTACACCCCATAAAAATGGGACTGAAAACTGACTTTGACGAAACTAAGGTTCTACAAAAAGGTTTTGAGTCATACCGAGGAAGATTGACAACCGAAGCCCTACATGTATGAGTGAATGTAGACAGTTTGAACAAGCGAGATGGAGTACAGTTAGCCGCCTCTTGGCAATTCCTAGTTAGTAAGCAGAAAAAGTGACTCAGAGCATTTACCGTCAACACTAGTGTCAACTTCATTATTTCTGTACAAACAACAACACAATCTGGATTGGTTTGATTCACTATTACTATCATCGTTGTCACCATCACTATCACTACTCATTTTCAAACTTTTTCCGGTAAATCAACGAAAAATTCTTTAATACTGTTCACCACCATATTCTAACTGAAATTGCATACATATCCAGCTTATCCATTCCATTGTACTTATAAAATTACCGAATAACTATAATGTCACCTGTGACCTTTTTGTCTGATGTTTACAATCAAGACGAATATGAATTAGAGTACATATGTATACATATACACACACCCATATGTCATACAACAAGAGACATACAATTTCACACTGAATGATTTTTATTATTATTATTAGTCCCTTGGGTTCCTAGTGGAACATAGGGCTTCAGTAGCACGTCTCCAGTGACCACTGTTCTCTGAAATCTTTTGAACCTGGCTCCATGACAGCCCACAAGCTCTCATTTCCTCCTCGCACGATCTCCTCCATGTCACCCTCATCTCGGACACCCAACTCGTCGCTTCCCATGGGGATTCCACTCGAGTGACTGACCTGGTGAGTGATGTCCCCAGTCAGCCTTCTCAGTGTATGCCCAATCCATCTCCACTTCCTCCTGTATATTTGTTGCGTGATAGGTTCTTGCATTGTTGGTTCGTTCCCAGAGCTCCTTGTTGCTTATTCTTTCTGGCAATCCATCTGATCTTCAGTAGCGAGCCAGCGTAGGTGGCAGTTGTTGATGAATGTCTGTAGTTTATTGGAAATCCCTTTCGTGACGCGCCAAGTCTCTGAGCCATACAGGAGCACTGACTTGACGTTGGTGTTGAAAATCCATATCTTGTTCCACATGCTGAGTGAAGCAGATCTCCACACTGGTTTCAGGCCTGTCACACTGAATGATTAGTTATCATAATTTAGAAAGACGATGACTATACGAAGAGGATTGGACAAGTAGATGAAATGCACTTTTTTTGAATTCATTTATAAATCCTTGATATTTTAATTTTGATTATTTCCCTGAAAAAGTTCGGACCGGACTTCTTTGCGAAACGTTGGAATTATTTGATTTCAAACGCGCTGTGATTTACCCAAATACACTTCTATATTTATTGTCAAGAGTATTAATGTTATAGTGCGGACAGACATCGCAATGATCTGCATAAAAAGCCCTAAGTATTCGAAGCCTGTTATTATAAGAAACCTACATGGACAGGGCAATATCTTAATTCTCATAGCTATTGCCCAGTCCAATATAAACGTGGTTTAGTTGGATGCTTATTCAACAGGATAAACCGCATCTGCACCGATGACACCAGGGAGGAAGAAACCAACTTACTGAAAAAGTAAACCGTCTGCCATTCTTGGATATACTCCTAAGTCGTAGAAATGATGGTTCAATAAAACGGTCGATCTACAGGAAACCTACTTGGACAGGTCAGTATTTAAGTTTCCATAGCTTTTGTCCAACCCAATACAAGCGAGGTTTGGTAATTTGTCTATTTAAAAGGATCGAACGTATTTGTACGGAGGACTCAATGGACGATGATATCAAAATACTAACGGAAACATTAGTGGAAAATGGATATCCATTGAAGTTCATAAACCGCTGCAAAAATCAGTGAGGATTCAAACCTGATCTGTGCTCTGTTTCGAAGAAATGCGTTTACATCGCGTTACCATACAGAGGAGAATCTAATAGCATAATATTAAAACGAAGGTTAAGGTCTGCTGTTAGCAAAACGTACTATGCAGCTAAGCTTATCATAGTTGAGAAGACCAAACACCTGCTGCTACCTAGACCTCAACGCTGTATAAACGATTGTGTCACATCCCATTGCGTTTATAAATTTACATGTGTGTGTGGACAAACATACATAGGGAGGACGAATCGTGATATGCACTTGAGGGTAGGGGAACATGTTCCAAAGTGGCTACGAAAGCAGCTGGATTCACAAACATTGATAAGCGCAGATGGCAGACAACCATCATCATCCATTGCGAAACATATCATTGATAAGAGTCACAGAATTGATATCAAGACAGCCTTTACAATTTTGTACAGAAACTGTCAGGGGCGTATACTTAAGTTTGTTGAGGCGCTAGCCATAAATAAATTTAACCCCCCATTGTGTGTGCAAAAACAGTTTGTCCTTACATTAAGCCTACCTTGGTAATGCTTATTTTATCGTATTACCAAGATTGTCTTCAAGTCTTATCTTTTATTCCTCTCATTATCTTTCTTATTATTGAATTCCTTTATGTCATATGTGTCCTTCCCCCACTTCCAGTTTTCATATATAATGCCTTAACAAGTAAATGTGTGATCAGATTGTTCGAAATGTATAGCGCTAATACATCACATTTTTCAGATAATCTACGTCTTCTAATTACATTATCCAAATTCATAAAAGGGACTAATTGTTTCAACTTACTGATGACAACACTCACACAGAATGGATACCCGTTGAGATTTATCGACAGGTGCAAAAGTTATGTACCACTGAAAAGTACACAGTGTTCCATTACTAAGATAAATGTCTACATCTCATTACCATTTAGAGGTGATTCACATAGCTTTGTTGTGAGGAAAAGACTTAAATCGGCCATCTGTAAGACGTATTATGTAGCCAAGGTCATCACTGTAGAGAAGACCAAGTCCATGTTACAGCACAAACCAAAACAACATATAAACGATTACATCACATCCCACTGTTTATCAATTTACATGTATGTGTGGACACACATATATAGGGAGGAGTAATCGTGATATGCAGTTAAGGAAGGTCGAACATGTACCTAAATGGCTACAAAAACAAATGACCTCAACAGATCCGATAAGTGCAGGTGACAAATATCCATCTTCGTCTATCGCTAAACATATACTAGAAACTAACCATAGGATGGACATGAAAACAGCCCTTAAAGTACTACATAAAAGTGGTCAGAGCCGAGAGCTTAAATTTATTGAAACTCTTGCCGTCCGTAAATTTAAACCCC